CTGTTTTTCATTTGTTTTGTTTTAAGTTTTTGAGACATGGTATCACTAAATTGCTAAGTTGCCTAGACTGAGCTCAAACTTGTGATCTCCTGTGTCAGCCACCCAGTGCTGGGATTACAAGCATGTACCAGCACATCCAGTTCTCAGTCTAAATTTCTTGATTTTGATAAATATAGCATGCAGAATGAGGACTGCCATGGAGCATGAAAGACTCCTCAGGAGCAGAACTGAAGGAAGCCCTCCTGCGTGGCCTTGCCTGCTTTCCTCTGATGCCAGCCTGGTGCTATGGCTGTGTAAGAAAATATCCGGTTCTTAGGAAGTACACAATGAGGGGTTAAGGGGAAAGACATACCGGTGTATAAAACTCCACTAATGTGTTAACTCTGTACTAGTTTGGAAGTACTAACAGAGAGAGAGAGAGAGAGAGAGAGAGAGAGAGAGAGAGAGAGACAGAGACAGAGAGAGACAGAGACAGAGAGAGAGAGAGAGGGAGAGAGAGAGAGAGAGAGAGAGAGAGAGAGAGAGAGAGAGAAAGATTGAGAGAGATTGCAAGATATTGGTACCTGGCGAATCAGGGGTAATGGATATTTAGACATTCTTTGTACGATCCTTGCAAATTGTCTTTAAATCGGAACTGTTTTTAAACTTTTAAGTCACTTGTTCATATGATGAAGTTCCTTTTGCAGCAGAGCTGGATTGAGGGGCATTGCTGAAGGTTGACCCCAGGGCTTCACCAGTGCCAAGCACATGATCCACCACTTAGCTGCACTTTCAGCCCCAGAGCTGAGATTTGAACCCTCTGTAGCTCCAGCCTTCTACACAGTATGTGCTGTGGAGCTACACTGCATCTAAGCAGTTGTAGCTCAAAGACGGCCTGACTGGGTCGCAGGGGACACCTCCTGAGGTGCCTCAGAGCAGCGTTTCTTCTCCAGCTTTGACACGTGCACAGCAACTTGGGGATCCTGTTAAGATGCAGATTCTGATTCAGTAGATGTGCTGGAGACTCTACGCTCCTCAAACTCCGAACTGGTACTGCTGTCCATGGACTAAAGGATCCAGGGGCACAGCCCCAGACTCTAGGGCCCAGACTTACAGGGCTTAAAATACAAAATTTATTGCAGTGGGGGTGGAAATAAACACTAAATTATTTAGGGGACAGTGCACAGTAAAGATTCTACTGATTTGAAATGCTTTGCAGGCTGGGTGTAGTGGTGCCCACTTGTAATCCTAGCACTCTACTTACACAGGAAGAACCCAAATTCAAGCCCAGTTTGGGGATTTTAGTAAGACCCTGACTCAAAACAAAAAATTTTAAAAGTGCTGGGATATCATTCAGTGTTAAGGTCCTGGCTTCAATCCCCAGTATCACAATAAACAGACTAATACAATGCTTCTTGATAAATTAAACTCCTTTACTTTTCAAATATCCTTTCGTTCAGTAAACATGCAGTGTGAGCCTGTTGGGTATCGTATTTTAGAATTCAGAACTGGATGACTATGAAAATTAGCTGAAACAGATAGGATTTAGCCAATCTTTCCCTTCCCCCAGCAGACTGAAAGTCAGCCTTCAACCCAGGCATTTTTAGTCCAACAAGTGAACTTGGGATCTGACAGTTTCACTCAGTGTCACAGGCACAAGATAGAACATTGCAGGTAGAGGGTGCTGGAATTGACAAGTTCATCAAAAGGAAAAAAAAAAGTTGGCAGTTACGCCGTCAGCATCATTTTAGTGAAAAAACACTCTTCTGCTGAATATTTGTATTTGTTTAGCTTTCAACTTTGAGGGGAAAACTATCCTATAAACAATGCCAAATTCTTTTCATATTTTAAAAAATATCCTTATAGACAATCTGGAGGAAAATAATTAAGTTTACCTAGGACCAAAATCACAGTGCCTACTTTCTTTGAAAGATTTAAGGTTAATCCAGCTGCACAGCTCTGAGGTATAAATTAGGCCCAACAGACAGGTACTGAAGAGAGAGAGCCAGAGGCTGAAAACCTCTGAGCGGGCCCCCCAGCCCCTTCTCACAGGGGGACTGTGTGAAGGGATGCGTGGGTGGTCCCAGGCCTTAGCCTGCAAGAGGGGTAGGTCTCACCTCTCTCAGGCTCCGGAATACTGACCCCTCTGGAGATTTTTCTGTTGCTCCCGGCAGCTGCAGCCTGTCTGCTTTTGCTTCTTCCCCTTTTCTTCCCCAGCTGACTTTCACTTCCTCGGCATTTCTGACCCGCTTCACTCTTGCTGCTTTTGAGCTGTCCCACACTTCTTCCCTCAGCTGCCAACATCTGCATCATCCACAGGAGCCAGCTCCTAGAATGCACTGGGCCAGGGAAGCAACTGGGGCTGGGGTCTCTGGGCTAAAGGGCCTCATTTATTCTTGATTTGTTTTGTTTTTGAGGCAGAGTCTCATGTAATACAGGTTGGCCTAAAATGTTGCCCAGGCTGGCCTCAAACTCACAGCAATCCTCCTGCCTCAGTCTCCCAAGTGTTGGGATTATAGGCATGTGCCAGCATGCTTGGCTGTCTCTCTTTTTTTTTTTTTTTTGCCTTTTTGAGATAGGGTCTTACTATGCAATTCAGGGATCCAGGGAGGCCTTGAGCTCACTTTGTAGCCCAGGCTGGTCTTGAACTTGCAATGGATTCTCTTGCCTCAGCCTCCCTTGTGGTGAGATTACAGGAATGCGCTACTACGCCCTGCTTGCCTATCTCTCTTTAATCAGGAAAGAAATGAGCACCAGACACCCCTAACCTCATACCTACTTGGAGAACACTGGTTGTATTTATTTCTCTTTCTCCTCCTTTACAGAGAGGGTGGTTTCCAGCTCCCTTCCCAATGGGCTCAACAATAACACTAATACTCTTTAAGAATGATATCCTGGCCAAAACTTTTGCCCTTGTCTCAGGCTGGGTTGCCTTGACCAATACACAGATATGAGGTGTGATTGAAAAATATGGTGAAAATTAAAAATTTTTTTTTGTGTGTGTGTGTGTGTTTTTCCTTTTTATCAGTACAGGGGATCGAACTCATGACTGCCTGCTTGCAAGGCAGGAGTTTATGCTGCTGAGCTAAATCCCCAGCCCCTGAAAATTTAAAAATTTTTAAAAATACATTACAGTAAAAGATACATTACCATTAATCCCTTTCAATAAGTGAGTATTCTTGCCACTTTCTGAAGCAGTTCTGAAAGTCCTTTTTCATGGATGTCTTTAGTTATGCTGTCATGGTTGTCTTGATATCCTGAACTGACTCAAAAGTTTTGTCTTTCATGATCATTTTGACTTTGGAGAAGAGCCAGAAGTTACATGTGCTGGATGTCATAAATGAAGACATCACCTGTTTATACAAGCCTTCCTTTGCGTTGGGTGACACCCAGCAGTAACATCCACTATATTTTTGATCATTCTGCCTAAAGATACTCATGAAAGGGAACTTCGAGAACTGCTTGAGAAAGTGGTAAAAACGATAGGGTAAGTCTGTTGGAAGCGAGAGGGAATTTTCTGAGGTGGGTTTATGGTAATACTTATATGTCTTAGTATAATAACTTATTTAAACATTCACTGTGTGTGTTGGTTACACCTCATAATTAGGATAGGCAGTGAGTTGTGAAGTTGGTCTCAACTTGCCTCAGGCTACACCATTAGTTAGAATTCAGGTCCAGACTCTGGTTCCAAGTATACTCCGCAAAAGCTCCTTGGAAAATGTTCTTTGTTAAGAGGTTTGACACAAAGCTCCAGGAATGTAGGCTGCAGTGCTGATCCTACAGCCTACTCTCTATTCTCACCTCTGCTAAGTGGAAAATCCAGACTATATTCTTCAGCCACAGCCACATTGGGTGGACACAGGCCCACGCTGGAAGCACGGGGGTTTTCTCTCTCCCCCTCCCTCTCCTCTGTCTTCCCCAGCTGCTGCTTCCATGATGCCGCACTCTTCCTCAGGATGTACTCCACTGGTCTCCTCCAAACAACCACAAGCCACTCTGAGGCACTTGACTTTGTATTGTCTTGTGTGTTTATTTTTTACTTTATTATAAGTCAGGAGCATAGAGACTACCACTACAGAAGTAAAGCAGAGAAAAACATTCAAATCATGACTGTAGCCAGGGGTGGTGGCACATATCTATAATCCCAGCACTCTGAGGGGCTGAGACAGAGGGATCACAAGTTCAAACCCAGCCTGAGCAGCTTAGCAACATAGCAAGACCTTGTCTCAAAACAAAAAAATGAAATGGGCTGGGGATGTAGCTCAGCATAAAGGCCCTGCATTCAATCCCTAATATTGTTTTAAAAAGTAGTAATAATAAATAAATGATTAATCGTATCAGGAGTGTATACTCCTGAGGGAATTACTGAACCTATCTCAACTTCAGTTATTTCCTCTATATAAATAGGTATCAAAACACTTGTTTAATTTTTTTTCCTTAAGTGTTTTAAGGAGATCCCTAAGAGGTAAGTGAAAATTCTTTTTTTTTTCTTTTGTCTTTTTCCTTTTTATTGGTATCAGGGATCGAGCTCACGACTGCCTGCTTGCAAGGCAGGCGCTTGAGCTAAATCCCCAGCTCCAAGTGAAAATTCTTAACCAACAAAAATATACTCAACCCATCAACCTAACATTCAGGAGGCTGAGGCAGGAGAATCGATGGGAGTTTGAGGTCAGCCTGGGCTACATAAGCAAGTTCAAGGCCAGTCTATACTATGTAGTGACATCCAGGCTCAAAACAAAATAAAACAAGTGTGTGTGTGAATATATATGTAGACATTAAATATATATATATATTTATTTTATTTATATATATAATATCTACCCTTTGCCAAGTACTGCCTTAAATAGAGAAGTAGTGGTGTATGAGGTAAATTGCTTGCCATTTAAAGATCTTGAATTCCAGTGGGCAATACATATGATAAACTAACATAGAAAATGTAATTAAATTATTCATATTGGATGCATAACAAATATGGATAATATAAATTGATAATTTTTTTTTTTTTTGCTTTTTGCGACAAGGTCTCACTATGCAGTTCAGGCTGGCCTCGAGTTCACTTTGTAGCCCAGGCTGGTCTCAGACTTGCAATGATCATCCTACCTCAGCCTCCCAAGTGCTGGGATTACAGGTATGCACCACCATAGCCCACTAAATTGCTAATCTAAATTGCTGATTGGATATTTTAATCAAATAGTGGACAATATAATTAAATCATAGTCACTGATTTTTTTTTAAAAGACCATCATGTGATTTGGTTTGGAAAAAGAATAAGATACTTTTTTAAATAGGGCAATAAGGGGAGCTCTCTGAGGAGGTGACATTTCAGCAGTTACCTGGATGATATAAAGGAGTGAGCTTTGCACTAATCTGGGATGAGCAAAGAATAAAGATTCTGAAGTAGTAATAAGCTCAGTATAGTCACAAAACAGGAATAAGGTCAACGCAAGTAGGGCTGGGTGAGAAAAAAGGTGTGGAAATAAAAGAGATAATATGTATAGAAGAAACTCAACAGGTAGTCATTGTTCCATAAGTAATAAACATTCTTAAATGGCTTCTATTTTTCTACCAAGGCCACATCTTCTCTTTTTGTTGGTTTGGTCTTTTAAAGGAAGATTCTATGTTGCCCAAACTGGTTTCAAACTTCTGAGTTCAAATAATCCTCCTCCCACAGCCTCCCAGGTAGCTGGGCCAGCACAGTAAGCAAGCTGTCCAGTGCATGCTTATTGAGCGCATTCATTCACTGAACAAATGTTTACTGAGTGCCTTACCAGGTTCCAGGCATTGTGCTCAAGATAAGGATATCATAATGAAGAAGACAAACATGAGAAGGAAAAAAAATAAGAAAATAAGCTATGTGCAGAGTCACCCTCAGAGATTGCTGAGGACACCTGTTGTAACCTTAGGAGCGGCCTTGGACTTTGGCATCCTAACACTTGCTGTTCCATACTACAGCACTGCCTAGAAAGTCTCCAGTGAGTCATCGGGGTAGATACAATTCAAAAGAACTCCAGGAGACCAATTTTAATGCCATTCAGGATAGACCTGAGGGTGGAAAACATCTTAAGGGACAAACAAAACTTTATATGTAATGTAGATTAAGAAGCTATACAGGGCTGGGAATATAGCTCAGTGGTAGAGTGATTGCTTAGTATGTGCAAGGCCCTGGGTTCATTATTCTATACTGGAAAAAAGGAGAAGGGGAAAAAACTGAAATCCTTTGGGAAGTATTAATAAATCTAAAAACCTATAGGACTAGCCCATCTGCCCTGCCCCTGCCCCTGCCCCTGCCCCTTTTGAGTGACTGAGGCTCCAGTCCTGGCCTCAAAGACTGTCCATAGTCCTACTTTATGTCCAGGTGCTAGCCTACCAGGGTTGATATGGGGACAGAGAGTACTGCTGTTTCACTCACCACAAATGTTAAATCTAAGAAGAGGACAAATCAATGGTGGTACAAGAAGCTTTCCACATCCAGCAGATTGGCGATTTCCTGCTATAGTGTGAGGACTCTCCAGCCTTCCTAACTTGGTCTGTGTTGGTTCCGTTGAACTCTGGAGGTGTGGGCATGCCTTATTCCCTGAATGGATTGAACATCTAAGGCATTATGGCAGCCTCCTACTCTGGCATGCCACTTGCCATCAGTTTTAGAAATCACTCATGGACCCCATCCTGTTGCCCTACACACATAGTGGGTTCCTCTGCCTCAGCCCCAAGCTCTTGCTGTTCTGTTATCCAACAGAGATGGTGCCACCAGTATTAGCTTACTGGTTTATCTTCATTAAATGTTTATTTTTCTGTTCATAGCTGAGATATGTTTTAGCTTTTTTCTCTGGAACCCATGCTTTTATCAAAACTGAATGTTGTGTCTATATCCCTGATGCCAGTGTTAATATATCTATTTTATGTCCCATGTAAAAGCCCAAATTAATACCTTTTCTGATCCTGTCCTTTCTAGAGGAGATATACTAGCCCATTGATTTGGTTCCTTGGGCTCCTGGTTAAAAAAAAACCCTGATTATTATTTTCATTTGCATAGCTAATCTTTGTTTATTTTTTATTCATGTGCCTATTCTACGGCTGTGCAATGTTTATAAACCAAACATATGGCCACATGGTATACCACTGACACAGTGCTAAACCCCTCACATATCACAGGAAAAGAAACCAAGTCAGAAGGTAAGAGTCAGTTACAGGGATAGAATTTAGCAATTCAGCTTGACTTGACTGTAGTCATTTTGGTATGAAGAATTGAACTCAGTACTTGTGCCTGCCAGGCAGGTGCTGTGCTGCTGAGCTAAATTGCTGGCCCAGCTGCAGGCATTTTGAACCACAACTGCCCTTGAGTAATCCTGGTCCATTTTCCCTACTGTTTCCTAACCTACTATAAGTAAGCTGAACTATGAAAGCAGTATATAGGGCTTTGTTACTGGACCCCGGTGCTGTCAGTGCCAAGAATGCACCTGACTTCTTTGGTATAAACTTGAGCTAAACCCAGTACATTCCAGATTGGACCCACTTTTATCCTGATCCCCCCTTCTCACCCAAAGTTGGTGGTCTTGCTGCCACTGGGGACCATACTTCTGTCAGAAAGACCCCAATAAACTGCACCCTATACAATTCTGGAACTGTCTGCCTGTTCTTTGGTCTCATGACACCTGCAGTCCTTTTATACTGGGATGGGTAAATCAGGAATGGTTCTTTAAAAGAGGACACAGAAGGAGTTCAAAGTCAGAAAAGAACATGGTAAGATGGTGGAAACAGACTGATGTGACACATTTCAAATATAGAAAAAGGGGCCACAAACCAAGGAATACAGGCAGCCACTAGAGGTTGAACCAGAAAAAGAAATGGATTCTTCTCTAGAGAAGAAACCAGCCCTGTCACCTCTACTTTAGAGCTTTGAAACTACTTTTGCATTCTGATCTTCAGAATAAGAAATTCATGTTGCTTTAAACCACTAAGCTTGTGGTAATTTGTAACCAGTGGCAACAGGAAATGAATACACATGGGGTACTTGGTACGTGTACACAAATTCTCATCCCCCTCCCCTATAGATTCTGATTCTATAGATCTGAGTTAGGATCCCAATAGTCTGTTTTTTCTACCAAGCCAAATACCTCATCACTTCTTTTCCAATGACATACTCCATCTATTTTGGCTACAAGTGTGGACATAATGACCCTTCATTGTCCCAGAGCTTGAGACTGGTGCACAGGTGGACATCTGGCCCACACTGGCCAATCACAATCTTCTCTAGGAATTTACACATGGAAGTCAGAACAGGTTTACTATTTGTGCTAGAATTTGGTTGAAGAGTCAAAGATGCCACACTAGGAGAGATGTCTACTTGCCGTGTCTGGCACTCGTCTTCTCTGACTAGATAAAGGAAGCACATACACAGCAGCAAAGAAGATAATAAGCAGAAGGAAGCAGAGTTGAATGCTAGACGGAGAAAGAAAACCCTACTCCTTTGAATCCCTGGATCCAGCAATAACTACAGAATAAATCCTTTTCCTTAGTCATACCTATGTCTGTATCGACTATCTCATACTTGTTTATGTCATTTTACCCATTAGAATTTAAATACAAATGACACAGAGACGTTAGTCACTTATCATTTGCACTAACTCTTTAGAATACACATTTCCATGTATAATCCACTTTCTGTCTTAACCACATAGTCCCCAGCAACTGTATATTCAGGCTGATTCTTTTTTGATCCTTGTTCCCTCCCATATATTCAGTGAAAAAGAAATTCTCAAGTGATGGCTCTTTTCCAATAAAAACAAATGACGCAAAACCCATATGATTGCCTTTGTTCAAAGCAATGGCTACAAAATACCTTCTGCTCTACATTATGTGGGGTTTTACAGGCATCTTTAGTGAGAAGTAAGCAGTAAAGAGGTTGAGTATTAACTAGAAGATTCTCCCTCATTATTCCAGTTACTTCAACAATAATTCTTTTTCATTTTTAAGGCATTGTCTCACTATATATTGCAACTTGAACTCACTATGTAGCCTCAGCTGGCCTTGAACTCAGAGTGATACTCCTGTCTCAGCCTCTTAAGTGCTGGGATTACAAGTGTGCACCACCATGCTTGGCTTCAACAATGCCTATCTTTCAATCCAAAGTTTCTCATTGCTGCAAAATACAACTGAATGCTATTATCTAAAAACATTTTTCTGGTGTAAATTGCCATTGCTGGGGGATGGGTCTGTGCCATTTACCAGGTAGGATTAGCTATACACTTTGCTAAAGTCTCTGAACAGACTATTGCTGGCAAATACTACCAAGTCCTTCTTAGAGTTGTGCTGTAAAACTTAGTGGAAGAAAATAGGGATTCCTATAATTTCCTCCTGCCAAAAAAGTGGAAAGAGCACTTGCCTAGCAGTCAGGAAACCTGAGCATAGTCTTGGCTCCAGCATTTATTGCCATTTAGTAAACTTAGTCAAGTCAGTTAACACTTCTAAGTTGTAATTTCTTCTATAAAGTGGAATTCATGATACTCCCCTGCCTTTTTAACTAGATGGTCATAAGAGTTAAGACATACAAATTTAAGGTATTGTTAACACACTATACAAACGTAAGGTAAAATTATGATACTCTAGTACTAGACACCTTCATTCAAACAGTGAGATTGTGACTGTTCTATTTACCAAAATTTAAAAAGTGAATTCTCGCTGGGTATGGTGGAACATGCCTATAATCCTAGCAGTTGGGAGGCTGAGACAGGAGGATCCCAAGTTTGAAGCCAATCTGGACTATATAGTAAGACCTCATCTGAAAAAAAGAAAAAGAAATAAAAGCGAATTGCTTTTCACAAGCCAATATTCACACGTTGTGGAAAAAATATCCACACATTGTGAAAAAGAAATTATGCAAATGTATCTATAAAGTAGGTATCAAACCTGGAACATCATTTAGATAGTGCTATATGCAAATGGTTGGCAATTCAAAGTAGGGATGTATAATCTAAATAGATGATACAGATCTCTAAAAAAACATGCCTAAAGTTGGTCTTCAGCAGATAATCCCAAACTCTGAATTACAGCTTTCAAACAAAGCAAAAAACCCAACCGATGTGGACTAGAGATCTCTGAAACCTTCTCCACCCCCACAACTGTCTTTACTTAGTACTAAATTTAGAGCAGATGGAGAAATCCACAAGTAAGACAATGCCTACATCTGCTAATAAATTAGTACTGGTGAGCCAAGCAACGAGAAAAATTTCAAGTGGTCTTTACATGTTAGCTGAGCTCCAAATAATGCAAAAGTTTCTGCTTTTGAGGAATTTAGATTTATGTAATTTAGATACAGTCAGTGAATGGAGCAGAAAGCAGAATGAAGAAGATAAGCAGACAACTGATGGCAAAATAAGAGCATAACAGAAATGAGGCAAAGAAGGTTGGTTATAATCTCTAATATAGATGGCCTTGACACACTAAATTAAAAAAAAAGAACCACACATGGAGTAGATCAGGAGGCAGGGTCCACCGAGATGCTATTTATAGGAAATATAATTAATATGAGAAAGAGTACATGGACTGAAAATCAAATATGAGAAAACAATGCTCTATGTGACAGAGAACCAAAGAGTAATAGGGGCAACAAGACCAGTATTTGTGGATAGGTTGGAAAACAGGCTTTAATAGGTAAAGGAATATAATTAGAGATCAAGTCCAGGAGAGAGAGAGAATGTTTGGAACCACTTAGGTAAATAGCAGGTTGCCCCCCCCCATTTAAAATCAACGGTCTTGGTCAGACCCAAAAATGCACAGTGTACCCTGGGAAAGTGAAAGGGGAGGGAAAGTATTAAAAAAGGATGGCAGAAGATATTGTTAATAGTGTATGAGGATTTAAAACCCACATTACTCGCAAAACTCTCCTTAGATAGATTTTATTCTGTCCCACTTTGTCTACTTGCATTAGATTTGAGGGCACAGACAACTATCCCAAAAACAAGGATATAGCACAGTAATCATCTTTAATTTCCTATTAACTTAGTCTGAAGCCCTGTATGACTTATACTGTTTTATCATGACTGATCTTAGTTAAATCTGGTTTGTTTGGGCTGGGGATTTAGCTCAGCGGCATAAGCACCTGCCTTGCAAGCAGGCAGTCGTGAGTTTGATCCCCGGTACTGATAAAAAGGAAAAAGAAAAAAAAACTATAAAAAGATAGGCAAAATAAGTTTTAATGGTGTATTTTTACTTAACCTAATATTCTGAACTATATGATCACCATCAAAATGATAAAGTATCTTATTTTTTTTTCATATTGTCTTTGAAACCCAGAGAATATTCTCTACTTACAGCACATCTTGGTTTGCACCACCCACATTTCCTTTTCTTTTCCTTTGGCAGCACAGGACTGAACCCAGGGATCCTCCACCACTGAGCTAATCTCTGGCCCTTTTTAAATTTTTTATTTCAAGACAGAGTCTTACAAAATTGTCCACACTGGCCTCAAACTTATGCTCCTCGTGCTTTAGCTACTGAGTAAATGTGTAACACACAAGCCTGGCTTGGACTTTTTTCAAATAAGATTTTTACTCACAAATTCAATTTAATTTAATAAAACATCTGAATACTTCAAAATTTTGTTTTGCATCGATTCTAGCAAAACATGTTTTGCTTTGATTTTTTGAGATGAGTATTTCACTATGTTGTCTAATTTGGCTTTGAACTCCTGGACTTAAGATATTCTCTTGCCTGGGATTACAGGAATGTACTGTGTCTGGAAAATGAGTTTTTGTTTTGTTGTTTGTTTGTTTTTGAGACAGAGTCTTGCGGTGTAATTCAAACTGGGCTTGAACTCACTATGTCACCCAAATTGGCCTCAGACTCCTAGCAGTTGCTCTGCCTCAGCCTCCTGAATCTTGGAACTACAGGCTCGGTTTTAAATTGCTTTTTAAAAATGTTGTTTTAGTAATTTTATCGAAATTTATTTATAGTAATTCCTTTTACCTTACTGTGTTTATATGATTTATATCAATATCTCTTTTTACATTCTTGATTGGGTATTTTGTAGAAAGTAGTTTTAACAATATATCATTGGATCAACTGATGAATGGATAAATAAAACATGGTACATTGATACAATAAAATATTTTTGGCCATTAAAGGAAATAAAGTACTCATATTATGTGGATGCCTCTTAAAAACATACTAAGTGAAGAAGCCAGTCACAAAGAACCACATGGGATGAAGCATTTCTATTATTATGCAATAACCTAAACAGGAAATTAGTAGTAAACAACAGATTAGTAGTGATGATAGTTGTACAATTCTATGAATTTTTTTTTTGTACCAGGGATCAAACTCATGACTGTCGCTCTATTAATGTTTGAAAAGCTATTGAATTGTATGGCTTTTTTTTTTATCGGTACCAGGGATTGAACTCACAACTGCCTGCTTGCAAGGCAGGCGCTTATGCCGCTGAGCTAAATCCCCAGCCCCCCCCCCGCCTTTTTTTTTTTAATCTGGCTTTTTTTTTTTTCAAGATAGGATCTTACTAAATTGCTAGATTGCCATGGCTGGGCTTGCACACCTCCTGCCTCAGTCTTCCAGAGTGTGGAAATTACAGGCATGTTCCAGCATGTCCTACTTCAATAAAGTTGATTTAAAACCTGTCATTATGAGTGCAATCACCAGCATACACACACACGAAATTTTTTAAAAAATCTTATCACTGGACAAATTATGTCCTCCCTCAGTTTTACTCAAAACAACAAATTGGAAACTACTAACTTGCAAAAAAAAAAAAAATTGTTACATAATCATTCCACTTTTTTTAAACCTCGATACTAATTTATCAATTATCACTTTCTTTGGTTTTTATCCTGCACATTTGATCACAGTAGTATCAGCAGGATACTTGACCACACTGGTTTCTATGAAGATCAGTTTTAGGAACTATTTCATATGAAAGTATGTCTGTATATACTTGCAAAGTCTTTGCTTATCTCCAGAAGTACAAATACGCTAGTGGGAAGACCACTGTTCAGGCTCACTGCATCTCAGGAGAGGCACATGGGAGGACATGGATGGTGCCCAGGTTCTGCTGGCGGGGTCCATGGCAAGGCCACTGATAAGCCAGTGAGGATGAACACTGGAGCTGCTGACCCAGACCTGTGTACTTCTACAAGGTCAGCTCCAGTCCAGAATATGTGACAGAGATAGGGTCAGATGAACCTATCATCTCTGAAAGTCACAGCAATGTAGAAAACAACCTACACAAAATAACCTCAGTTATCTGAACTAAAGGTTGTTCAGTTCTGCCCGAGGCTGCCGAAACACTGGCTCACAGTTCAAAGATTTATGTAGCTGGAAAACTTGATTCCTTGACTTTCCTCTTTCACTTTTTTTTGTGAGTGAATTTAATCTTTGTACCTGCCATGTCTGCTGAGAATATAATTAGCATGCTGACATCTGAGCAGCAATTTCTCAGCTTTATTTAGGGATAGAAGTATTTTTTACTTTGGATAAACTCAGGTACCCCCAACTTCCTTATTATCCTGAATATGATAGTTGTTTAACCTTTCATATACATTGAGGACACAGCAATAGCTATATTCAGATGTCAACTGGAGTTACCTATCCTTTAAGATAGACATGAAATTGGCTCAGTTCCTCCCCATTGTCCCAATGGGTTATGTAAAAGTCAGCGCCTTCTTCCCAGTATTCTAAATATTTCTGGGAAATATGGGTTCCGTGAGCACCTGATTCCAGCTTCCGTGAACTGTACTCCTTCGAGAACTGACCACTCTTCCTCCTGCTCTTTTCCTCCTTACCCCGTCATAGAATTCAGAACTTGTCTTTGATGGTGTGGAGGATCCTCAAATCAGGTGCCTAGCAGACTTCAAAGAAAGTTTGGGGGACACGGATATACTCTGGGGAACAAGGACATAACTCTGAGCAGCAGAGAGTCAGTAGAACATCTAATTTGTGTGCATTCCCCATTCTTTCCCCATTCTCCTACCCTCATGGGGTTTCAGACGCCTGTCTTGAGGATCTGCTCTCTCCTTCCCTTCTTTCTTACTTTTGTTCTGATATTCCTGTACTTAGCAAAAACCAACATCCACTTGTTAGGCGAGGGAAAAAAATTATTTTTTACAACTTTTTCGCTGTCTGTGGATTTCTGTCTACATATCCTGGGTCACCAAGCTGAAGTTTTAAAACTAGTATTGATAAGGATTTCCCTAGTAAAGTCAGAAGCCACTTCACTCCTCAATTTTATCTCAGAGAATACAAGTGTAGATTTTGCTTGTAAAATGAATCAGAAAAAAATAGGAGAAAAAGAACAATCTATTAATAGAATAACACAATGACAAGAATGTTTAGCCAGTTAATACTATTTATTGAGTACCTGCTATGTTTCAGGCACAGAGCTAGGCACAAAGGCAAACAAAATCAGACATAGTTATGTTCTTGTGAAGCTTACAGAGCTTCTGAGAAAAGAAACAACAATCAAATACAAAAATAAAATGAAGCTATCAGTGACAAACACCAGGAGAGTGCAGCACAAGTGCTGTGAGAGTAACATGCTACTGGGGTCAGGCTAGCTGTCCATGAGATTGTGACAGCAAACCTGTGATCTGAAGGTCTAGGGTTGGAGAACCTAGGAAGCAAAAGAGCACTCCAGGCTGAGGGACAGGCCATGTGGAGGCTGTGTACAACTGAAAGCCTTGACAAAGGACGGAAAGAAGGCCCACATGACTGGGGCTGAAAACCTGGGCAGCACTGAGGGGTGAGTGTGGGCTGAAAAGATAGTAAGGCTTTGAAAAGTTTCAAGCTGGGGAATGCGAGGCAGCTCAGATTTACGTTTTGAAAAAAGCATTCTGGCTGCAGTGTAGAGAATGGGACGGAATGTTACAAAGACTTGAACTGTCAACTGGAGAGCCCATGTGAAGACAGGCAGTGATTACTGATGATTATTCAGAGCAATGTCTTCGGCTGGGGATTTAGCTCAGTGGTGTAAGTACCTGCCTTGCACCAAAACAAAACAACAACAACAACAAAAACACAGAGCAGTTTCTTATCTGTCTGTTCTTTTTTATACTAAATGAATATACACATACAAGTAATTCAAAACAGCAAAAGTACTACCATATAAGGTTTATAAAAAAATGAAAACAAAAAAAAAGCAGCCCTCCCAAAAAACAAAACAAAACAGGAATCTCAGCAGCACCCCAGCCGTCCTTCCCCAATCCCTTCACTCCTGCCAAGGAGCCCTGCTTCCACTCTTACCTACTTACCTAGTATTTCCGCCCCCTTCTTTTTGGGAGGAGTGGGGAGCAGGGTCTAGTGCTGTGCTACAGGCCCAGCCTTTGCCCTTGCTTTTTAAAACATATTTTTAAAGTGCTATTTGCTTTTCAGTTTCACATATTATTTCCTACTAGGGAAGAGAAAATGTTCACACTACTGCTCCATGTTCCCCCGTCTTGCTTTGCAAGAAGGAATTCAAATCCATGACCAACAGTTTTTTTTAGTATTCCCATATGAAAAAAGTACGAATGTTCATTACCAGAAAAAAGAAAACATGAATCTGTAAGAACAGACTCAATATATTTCACTATAAATATATACCTCTGTAAAAAGTGTTTTCATGTATATTTGTCATGGACATATTTGACGCAGTAAGGATTTCTATCCCTTTAACAGAGTATAAACTACCCAAATTTTAAGTTTTCACAAGAACATTCAATGAAACCACAGTTGCAGTATATATATCCTAGTTGAAAGACATAATAAAGTTATTTGTACTAGGAGCAAAAATAACTATTATAAGACTGATGTCTTGGGATAGAACTGTTAGAAATGTTATCAAACATTGACTGTCCATAACATTTACAGATAGAACAGCAAAACAGGCCACTCCTACAAAGAGTGTGAAAACAAGCGGGTGATTCCTACCAAGAGCCTAAAAATATAAGTCAGACATTGTGACCCTCAGATAAATAAACTCCAAGGAAGGAAATAACTCAGAGGTACAAAGATTTAGTATGAAAATATTCACATGGAGTTATGTATAATAACAGAAAAAATGCTCCAAAATAGAAAAATGGTGATATCAATGTAAAAATAAGCATGTCTACATGTGTGTAATTATATATATATATACATATACACACATATAAACATTTATAATCATTTATAAAATACCTACATGCCAATTTAAGTTTGAAGAAAAAGGGTAAGATATTTTCTCCTGGGCTGGTCTACCACCCATACATGTCAGAATCACTCCAGGTGGGAAGTATTAAAATCCAAATTCTCAGGTTCCTTCCTAGGCCTACTGACTTTTAAGAGACACTGTGAACAGCCCAAGGCTCTGTGACTGATACATTCTTGACTCCTAACAGAGTTTGATTCAAAATTTATTAAAACTATATTAATGAGGCATGAGTGGTTCATCTGGGCAAGTGAAAACAACTTTAAAGAATGGAAAGTATGTGTTTTAAGTCCAAAAAATAGATGAATCTATGAATTTCTGAAAATTTTTAGGTCAGTTTAGGCCACAAAAAGTATTATACTAAGTTCAAATATGGAAATCATTACCTCAATAAATTGTCCAGGTAAAACATAAGTATAATAATTTTAGTAGTTATAAGGAACAGCATTTCTCAATGTTCCAAGACATTCCTTCGCAAAAAGAGGGTTCAGTGATCAAATAAGTTTGGGGCACATTATACATATACCACTCCCTCCTCTTTAAGGTCAGACAATCATTAGTAGATTACAGGTTCTGAGGAGTTAAATAACCTTTCTTTTTACTTCTAGTTCCTTGTTGTCTTAGAATTGTCCTGCCATTAAAAACAAATTCTAGGCTGGGAGAGGATCTGGAAAGAATTCTCATCATGGACTGAGTACTACACTTGACCCAACATCTTAGTTTCTTTCCTTCATCTCTGAGGGCTTATCATGGCTCAAATCAGCTCCCAAATAATGTTCAAGAACAGCAAAACAATGCCAGGCCACAAGACTGGGACACCGAAAGGAAGTTTTACTTGCCTATTACTACCGCTAGCCTGTTAGCTCAGAACGGGAAACATACCTCTTGTCTGTTCATTTATGTACGTACCTAGCACTTATTTGGTACTCAACGAAAGGGACACAGCCATTCAGGTAATTTTAAAAAGTTTTGATGAGTAATGAAATGAATGCACAATCAAAATATCAAGACTTCATTTCACTCAAAGAAAGTTTGAGCACTTACTCTACAAAGGCATTTCTAAGACTGTAGAGCCAGCAAGACATAGTCCCTTCCCCTAAGAGCTCTAAGCAATGAGCTACTAGTCCCCTAGTTCTGCCTTGTACATTTTGAGAACACAATAATTTCTAATTAATGCTTGTTTAAATTGAGTTTGGAAACCAAGACACACCTTAAGTTTGGTCAAATTTGGGCAATTTGGAGGCAAAGAGACTAGAGTCAAAATCTGACCGTTCTAGAATTATTGAGAACTCAAGTAAACAGAGGTGTCTTGGTCATCACTTACTACCATGTAATCTCTATAGCCAGCCAAGAATCAAGAATTTTATGTAGAGAAACCTTAGAACTCAAAGGAATGTAAAAGTACACACCTTGACAGTGTTTCTAAATGTGTGTACTGCCAAGTTCCCTCGGCTTTTGTGATGTTAACATACAGGACTGAGAAAGGAGTTCTGCAGAGTTGACAGGCCTGTGTACTGCAAGACTTTTCATTGCTTTCACAGTGTGCTGCATTCCTTATATACATTATGTTTGTATTTTTTCACAAGAATCCTATGAAGCACATTTTATGCTTTTTTCCATCTTGCAGATAAACAAGTTGAAGAAACTATGACAGAGTACATCATAACCTGCCTGCTCGACCATAAAGGTACCACCCGAGTGGAACTCTAAAAGCAGGGCTTTCTGGTACCAAAGCCTGGTTTATGATCACTGCAAGCAGTACTTTGTTTAATATGTTGATGGGTACCAGCCCAGAGGAACACATAGTACATAGTGTTTCCCAAACTGGTTTGATTAGGGAGTCCTTCTGAGCAAATCCCTTCACTTGGTTTTCATGAGAAATACTGTGAAGCAAGTGAGTCAAAGTCTCCATGGCAGACAAAAAGGAGGTAGAAGGTAACTCTGAAAAGAAAAGCTACTCTACAATTTGTTCATTTCCACCTCTGCCTTTCTCTCCTCTCCCCTTTCTCTCACCCCGCTGTGGTACTGGGGATAGAATATAGGGCCTTACCACTGAGCTACATCCCCAGCCCTCTTTTACTTTGAGACAAACTCACTAACTTACTAAATTGCCAAGACCAGGTGACCCCCCTACCTCTTCCCAGCGTTGGGATAGAGGTACATGCCAACATGCTGCCAACATGCTATTAAAATTGTGCTCAAAGAATTATTATAGGGACATGTAAATTAAACCTTGGTTTAACAGGTACCATTTAAACCTCTAGACTCATAAGCTTCACTTGGTGAGTCACTTATTTCACAAAATATTTCATATGGAATTCCAATTCAAGCATTAGAATCTTCTGTAGGATTTGACTTACATATAAACCCATTACATCACTAGTTTTGGTAAAGCATATTCAATTGGGAGTGTGAGTTTTAACTTGTTAGGACAAGAACTGAAATTTACATTTGAGGATGAGATCATTCTTTTATTTTTTTCTGGTAGTACTAGAGATTGAATCCAGGGTCTTATGCATCCTAGGCAAGAGTTCTATCACTGACATACCCCCTGTTGCCTTTTTATTTGACACTGAAATAGGGATTCACTTCCTTATCCAGGCTGACTTCAATCCCCCTACTTCCCTGAGTAGTTGGGATTTTAGGAATGCACCACCATGCACAGCTAGAGTAAGAGAATTCTTCATTGTACAGGACTAACCCAAACTCTGTTGGACATTTGGCATCCCTGATCCCTGCTGATTAAACACCAGTAACATCACCACCATTCCTCAGTCCTTATAATAAGAATACATCCTTAAAATTTCTAAATTACTAGGGAAGTATCCAGCTAAGAATCATAGAAAGTTCAATAAAATATTAAGACAAACTCCCAGCCCAATCTTGAATTCAGTATTCTAACAAAGCCACTGTCAAGCTATTGTTCTCTGTCTTCTGTTAGTAACACGAGTAGATTCAACACAAAATGCCTCCATTCCCCTAAGAATACCATTCCCCTCCATTCCCCTATCAATACCATTTTTAGCCAAGAGGCCTATATACTTTACCAATAACAGCAATAAAGATGGGCAAAACTAGGGCCAAGAATTCATGGCTTGTATCTGTGACAGTAGCCACAAAATGAGAAGTTTATTTGAAAAACCTATCATTTTGTCTTACATTTCAAGAAGAATGTTGGATGTATTTTTATCTTTTAAAAAATGATTTATTATCAAAAAGTTTGCTCCTTCTTACTACGAGGTCAGTTTAGCAATGCAGCTCCATCCTTTCAGGATTATTAGGGCCAATAATTTTTAAAAAAACCAGAAAACAAAACTCTGGACTGTAAGTTTTGGCAACATATTCACAGACACGTCAATAGGTACTCAGGAACACTGGTTTCACTTCTTGATCGGAATGCCAATCACCATAAAATCTTCTGCTAGAGTCACTTCTTGGAGATCTAATACTGATTCCGCCTGCTTTTTCAGTTCTGCAATGCCATCTGCTTCTCCTTCCCTGGCCAAAGCAACTGGTTTGTACCTCTGACTGAAATGAGTCAGAATCAGCCTCTTTGCACGGCACAACTTTGCAAATGTTGCTGCCATCTGTGGAGTGCTGTGGCCATGCTCCTTTGCTTTGTCCATCTGAGCATCATCCAAGGTCGCCTCGTGGATCAACAGGTCTGCATCAGAGCACAGCTTCACTCCTCCATCACCCACAACTCCAGAGCAATCACCCAATATGCAGATTTTTCTTCCAACAATAGGCTTTTTTAAGACGTCTTGGGGAGAAATTGTAATCCCATTTTCCAGGACAACAGAAATCCCATTTTTCAGTTTCCCATAGGCAGGACCTGGTGGAACACCTAATGATGAAGGCAGATAACATTATATCATGGATATGGAATTTATGATCTTTTAAAAAGGCACTTTCACAGCACAGCAAATAGAAAATGAAATAAGCATCCAATTCTTTTCATAATTGCTGTTTTACTACTTGTGGAAAACTAGAATATTTATACTTTTAAAAGTTCAGTGTTGGCTATTACCAATGTGTTTATACTTAAAACATTTCCCATGTTCATTTGTCAGATGACTTTTAAGCTGCTAAATCCCGCTAAGACTTTATTACAGTGAGGATAGCAGCTTTGATTCTCTGCTATACATGGAAATAACAGTTTTTTAAAACTGCTTTACTTAGTGAGCTAATTTTTGGGCAGAATTAAAGAGTATAATCAAACAGTAACACAGTGTCTAGTCAAGATAGGTACCCACAAGTTAACTTAACAGAAAAAGCATTAGAGAGGACCGTTTGGATCATAAAATCAGAAGCAATTTAGGAATCACACATGAAGAATCTTCTTGGTAGATGGGACAATTCCACAATTATCAACCTGGGCCTACATCTTAAATTAATCTAGAGTGACACCTGATCATCACTCTGGACAATACTTACAAACAAGTATGATCACTAATTCTTATACAGATTCTGTTTAAAGTTTCCAAATACGATAGTACTTACACAGGCTTTGAGATAATAAAACTAACTTTGACCTAAGTCACTTTTCCTCATTATGTAGCATCTTATTTTAGTAAAGGAAGAGATTGTATGCATAAAGAAACAAATATACAGAAAGGAGATGCCAAGGCAGTGGTGACTGATGCTGGGGGTGGGAAGGACCTGGCCTCTCTTTCACAGTGAGAGCTAAGGATCCTTCAGTAAGCCCTAAACCTTCTTTGCATGCTTTCTTACCACCACGATCAGCCCTAGTATATAAAACTGATTAACGTATAATGCATTTTTTAATGGTACTGGCATTGAATTCAGAGCCTTTACACTAGAATCCTTTTTAATTATACAAGTATAGATAGATATAGATGTTTATTTTTAGTTTTTTTTTTTTTTCATTTTTATAGAGTGATTGAGAGAGGGCAGAGTCTAAACTGGCAATCCAAATGCTTAGGCCTCCCAGAGTGTTGGGATTATAGGTGTGTAACTAGATACAGTGTTCTGAAAACCAAATTAAATTAGTCATGTTTGAGTGAGCAGGCAAAGTAGATAGAGAAGGAACCCCTGCAAATAGTTGTCTGCAGCTCTAAAGTTAAGAATCATCATAAAAATTCTCAGGCCAAAGATGTCACAAATATATATTAGCCAGGCATGATGATGCATGCCTATATTTCCAACACAGGAAGGCTGGGACAAGAGGAATGCCTCAAGTTCAAGGCTGGCCTGAAATACAGAGTGAAAGCTTCTCTTAAAGCAAACAAACAAACAAAAAGAAAATATATTTCAAAAGGAAGATATGAGGGCTGCAAGTATAGCTCAGTGATACAGTACTTGCCTAACATGTGGAAGACCCTGGCTCAACCCCCAGCAGCACAACAAAAAGACCATTCCCACCCAAACAACCTTACCAGCCAGACAGTATAAAGTGAAGATAAGACACGTAAGAATGTGAATCCAGAAAACTAAAGAGAGAAGAATTAAAAAATACTGCATATTTGGATTTTGTTCTGAATAGCATCTTTTGGCCCCAAAGACTTTCCTTAATAAGCAAACTTTGGGCAGAGACAGTGGAGAAAAAGTTATTTTTAGGCCTGAAATACAGGAAAGGCAAGTTACAGCTTCACTTCTAATGGCTAAGTAGCTTAGCTTTTGAGAGGGATACACACACACACACAAACGCACTTACCAAGGTCTTTTAGCTTCTGTGCATTAAGTTTACCTGGCCGTTTCTTTTCCACAACAGAGAACCCAAAGGAGGGAATTCGGTGAAAGAGGCGAAATGCTTTTACAACAAACTGTTCATCATCCACTAGAAGGTATGAGTTCTCTTCTGAGTCTAACAGGATAGTTCTTCCTTGTCCCTCTTTAGGAGCGCTGTCTGCTTTAGCCACGTGTGAAGATTCTCTTAGCTCTTCTGTGGGACACTGATCTGCTGTAGGTACCAGCTCATGGACCACATAAGGAAAGACCAACTCTGTATGAGAGAGCTCCATTGTTCGCCAGATGAAGTCCCGAAGCCCTACAGGGCCATAAATTTCAATAGGCTGTTTGGTGACAACGGAGCTACTCTGCAGGCTGATTGTGCATAGGAGGCCAGGAAGGCCAAAGAAATGGTCTCCATGAAGATGTGTGATGAAGATCTTGGTAATTCTCCCTTTTAATTGAGACAAAGAAATACATTTGGAAGTTTAAAAACTAAAAACTCAAAGCTATTTGAAGCAAGCCTAACAAATTGCACTAAAAGTATCACACTAAATCTAATAGACTTATTCTTTTCTTTGCTACGTGGTTCCACAAGCAAAAATGGCTTTACTTCATTGGATTGTTTTTTTCTTCCTATTTGTTTTGTTTTGTTTTGTTTTGGTACTGGGAATCAAACTCATGACCTCACACTTGCCATGAAGGTGCTGTGCCACTGAGCTATATCCCTAGCCCAACTGGATAATTTTAAATGAGATATTTATTTTCATTAAATATCTTAAAATTATACAGTTTTGCATTTTTCAAGGTGTTTTCCTACATATTCCCTATTTTAAAAGAGTGAGATATAAAATTGTACCAAAATAATTCATTGAACTAGTTGAGACACGTCAAAAGTCTCTGACTGTTACACTGCCCCCTACTGCCTTCTCTGAGAATAGCAAACATGTACTGTACTTGTTTCACTGATTCCAGGGCCTGAAGCCAAAACTGCCTTTTAAGGTCTCCATACGGCACAGGGGTTAACCAAACAAGGCAGACCCTGGATGTCCTGCTGAGGTTGTACATGAAGGAAAAAAGGGATGAGGCTGAGAAAGGGACAGGAAAGAGGTGTGCAAATAAAGGTGGTTATGAAAGGAACCTGGTAAGACACAGAGGAGGAGAGCAACGAACCCCAGAATGACTGGAGGACAGATCCCTTATGTACTGTGTAAAGGCACTTGGGCCCTTCTCCTGCTTTCAATCTGAACTAACACAACAGCTTTTTCAGAGCTCATTGGCTTAGATTATAACTTGATTTAGCCAATCGTGAACTGAATTTACTGCTGGTATGTGGCAGGATGCCACATCAGCATTTTCTGAGATGCACCACAGACATTTTGAAAGTAACAACACAATTAACCCATTTCCAGTATAACAGGCTTCTGGGCCTTGCTCAAGGCCCACCTATTTTAAACATCTGATACCATAAAAGTACAGGAGCAGTTTATTGATACCATAAAAGCACAGAACCATTTATTGCAATGTGATTTGTCCTGTCAGCGAATGTTCTCCAACCAAGTCTGCTTAGTGACTACACCGGGCCCAGGGGCAGAGAACAGTGGACTGAGGAGAAGCTGATTTTAGACTTTGAGAATCCCCAGAAGGAGGAGACACTCTCACACTAGAAGCTTCCTTAATATGCTCCTTTATCTTTCTTTCTTTCTTTTTTTCCTTATTTTTTGCTGTTTGCTGACCTTGAAAATCTTTTAATTTCCCCCTCCTGTTTAGGATACTAAGCCACCTTGAAGTGTGACATGAGGACTCTGCAGATAAAAAGACTATGGTGGCCACTCAGTTCAGATTGCATGTTGGTCTCAAAACTGGCAACATCAGCTTTTCTGGGTCCTTTCCTATCTACTCCAAAACAAAGCTAAAGTTGAACAGCAAAACAGCCTGGGAACCCAAAGCAAGTCAGGCAAATTAAGTAAGTGGAAAATTGCTTCCCACAGTTATCACAGTTTCAAGAGAGACAAACATTTCATTTTTCAAGAAACTTGATTTCAGAGGGAGAAAGAATGGCAACCACAATTATCAAAGTTATGAGGAAGCTATCAAATGAAGAGAGAAAAATATATGTATTCCCTGGCACATGAGAACAAGCAGTGATCAGGAAAACACTGCCCACAGAGGAATGGAATGCTAAGCACCCTATGAAAATGACGGTAAGGTATAACTTTCTACCATGCAAAAAAGTCTACAATACATTGTATGTATATATGGTTCCAAGGAAAAAAGCGGGTTATGCCAATGTAATGTGTGATTTCACTTATGCATAACTACACATACATATACACCAAATACGCATATACGGCCATACTGTTACCATATCTATATGAACAGCAAGTTTACCTAAAGGGAAGAGAATTTGGGGGTTCTTATTTATACTGTTCTGTTTTTTTCTAGCCTCCACAATAAGCATTACAATCAATTTAAATTCATTTAAATAGCGGCTGGGGATTTAGCTCAGTGGCATAAGCACTTGTCTGGCAGGCACAAGGTCATGAGTTTGATCTCTAGTACCAAAAAAAAAAAAAAAAAACCATTTAAATGATTTATAACAATCTCTTGTGCCCTCTTTTTGTGCCAGAATCAAACTGAAGGTTTTATTTATGTGCTAAACACACATTCCAGCATAAAGCTACATCTTCAGCCCCACATAAAAAACTTTTATAATCATATTAAAATCATACTTTTAGCCATCCTAGGGACAGAACCAGCCAGTGTCTCCTGATACCCATGTCACAATGGAACTTAGGGTGCTGGGAAACAAGGCAACCCGCTTGCCTCACTGGTAAGCATCTGTGAGCCTACCAGCCCACAGGCTGAGAATCAAACATCCCATTCTCCCCTTCCATTAGCAAATGGAAGCCAGAAGTCTGAGCATCTCTTGGGAGGATGATCATATGCATTGTTATCACTCTTTTGCTTTGTTCTGATTAATTGTATTGCTCTATTCAACATTCTGTTTTGACAAGCTCTATAATGTTCTGTATTTGGTTTGATTTTGCTATACCTGACTGAAAGAACAACTATTGTGAAGATAACAAGATATACTGTGGCACCATTTATCCCATTACCATTTATCCCAGTAACCTGCTGTGACATTCTATACCAATTTCACTGCATTATCTCAATTGGCTTTGTTCTGCTTTGTTCTGTTGTATTTTACTACCTTCAAAATAATAAAAACATTTTTTTAAAGTCATACTTTTAACAATTGTTTTATAATCATTTTGTTGTCTCTGTTTTTGGTGCTGGACCTTGCACATGTAAGCACATGCTCTACTAGTTAGGGTCTCCTCTGTGCTCCGAAAGTACTTCAAAATATCTGCATTGTTCTTCTTGGCACACTACGTGCTTCAGGATTGTCTGCAAGTCAGTTTCCATCACTAGACCAACAGACCTTGTGATACAGGAAGTATCTTTCCTTTAAATATCAGATGATACACCCAACAATGAGCTGTAGGAATAACCACAGTAACTACTTTTTTATCAAGACCAAAAAAGTAAGAGGTACTGTACAAAGTTGCTCATCATCTTACTCATTCACAAACTGAATAGGTATGTAGTAGGCATCTGTAGCTATGTAACTATGATAGCTATGGAACTTTATTGTACAGGGAGGTAGAGAACACAGAAGCAAATTATTTGATTAACATAATTCCAGATACTGATGATAAGGAATCAATAAAAATAGGATGAGGTGAGGGAAGGATTGCTTAACCCAACAGATTCAGGAAAATCTCTGAGGAGGTGGCCTTTGAGTTAACATTTAACTGATGAAGGGAGGAAACTACACAAAAGAGGAATTCTTATAACATCTCTTCTAAATAGAGTTTCACCTCCATTTTCTGGACAAGGAAAGTAAAGCTTAAGTTTGCTAATCTGCTAGTCACAAGACAGACATTCTGGGACTGAAACCCAGGTCTGCAAATCTGGACTGAGACTTTGCACTATTCATTCCTCTATCTTGCAGGTGCTGGTCTTCGCTTAATGTATTTTTCTGACTGCAGTTCCCCTTTTAGCCTGGGAACTCTTCCTCCCCCTCAACAGTCAACTTCTATGAGATGCCTAACCCAATAACCCCAAGTGGAAAAGGGTGTCTCCCTCCTCTGAACACCTACATCTTCTTATGACCACTCTTTTCTGTGTAAACACAGCTACTGCTCCAGAGCAGTGTCCATTCAACATCCCCCATCCTCTACCCTTAAGCCTACAGAAATCCTTGCTCTCAACATTTACAAAATGAGTGAAAATCAAATAAACAAGTACACGAAGTTCAGCACGGATGGCTGGATGCCTGAGGACCTTCTAAGCCTTGCCAGGGCTCTAGCACTGACGTGGGATGCAACTGTCAGGGCTATTTCTGAACAACAGGCTCCAGGATAGCCAAGAAACTGAAACGAAACAAAAAAGAAAGCTGAATATGCACTAACCTGCTTTCAGTTGGCTTTTCATAAGCTGTGTCTGTGTTCCTTCACCACAGTCAAAGAGCCAGCACTCACCCTCACACCGAAGGACCAGGGCAGAAGCACCCCGGGTTGGCGATGGATATGCTGCACCCGTCCCAAGAAAGGTCACATCCATAGACATCTTCTACTCTGCAACAGAAAGATCACCTGGGGATTATTTCAAAGCACTGTGCCAAAAATAAACATATTCTCATGAGACTTACAATCTTTGTTGCCAGATTTTGAACCTAAGGCCTTGTAGTTGCTAAACATGTGCCCTGTCTATACCTCCCAACTCCCAATTATTTTCAGCTATTGCTTTTTTTTTTTTTTTCAATGTTGGGAGATAGAAACCAGGGTCTCACGCCTACCAGGCAAGCACTATAGCACTAAGCTAAACCCACAGCCCTTATTATAACTCTTAACTGGCTAAAATTACAAGTGACCAAACCTTATAATTGCGCACATGCGCACACACACACACAATCAATTAAAAACTAATTGAGGGGGGCTGGGGATTTAGCTCAGTGGCGTAAGCGCCAGCCTTGCAAGTGCACAGTCGCAAGTTTGATCCCCGGTACCGATAAAAAAAAAAAAAACAAACAAACCTAATTGAGGGGCTAGAGGTAAAGTACTTGCCTAGGATGTGTGAGGCCCTGGGTTTAATTCCCTGCACCACAATACAACAATCAAACAAAAAGTACAACTGAATCCCATGTATATAACACTCTCAAAAAGGCCAATGTATATATAGATTCTAAAAGGACAAGCGTCCATCAGTAATATGGGAAAAGGAAAGAAAGATTATTAGGTGAATTCAGGACATTTGGAGGCATCAAAACTATTCTGTATGATGCAGTAAGCATAGACACATCATCATACATTGTATGATGTATGATGTAGAATGTACAACACAAAGAACCAAGTCAAATTTAGTTAATAACTGTGTCATAGTGGCTCACCAACTGTAATAAGTGCAGCACTTCACTGAAGACATTAATATAGAAGAAACTGGGAATTGAGAGGTGAGAAGCCATATGAAAACCCTGTATCTTCTACTCATTTAAAATAAACACAACACAATTTTACCTGAGGTACTGGCAAGAGATGAGATTTAATTATGTTTACTGAATGGTTCATGGTGATCAACCTTTCCTCTGAACGATCATGTTCTGTGATAGCCCATAATAATGCTACTTCAGAGTAAATGCTGAGCAAATGTCTCATTCCTCTAATGACTGGTTAGGGTACTGCTAATAACTTGTTGAATGTGCAGATTTCTGCCAACTCTTGGCAGTATTTCTTTCACTACTTCTGGACACATCTGCCATCTTTAACATACTTCTATCGTGGTGGATGTGTATTAAGCAAAGTAAGTGAAAAGGAACTGAAACTTACACATAACCAGTTCTAGATCATCTAATTGGTCCACACTGATGGCAAGGAGGAAAACTATTTAGAAAAACTACTATAGTTACAAAATTTGACAGAAAGCTGAATATAAGATAAACATACAAAAGAATCAATGAGTAAAAGGGAAAATCCAGAAATAAACTGATACATAAGAAATCAATATATAATAAAGTATAAAAGGATGACTTATTTATTGAGCAGTACTGACTTGCAGAAAAAAATAAAGCAAGGTCCTTGTTTTATATTGTCTATAAAAATTTATTGCACATGGGTTAGAAATTAATTAATTTATTGAGACAAGGTTTTGCTATGTAGTGCAGGTTGTCTCTGAATGTACTATGTAGCCCAGGCTGGCCTTCAGCTCAAGATGAGCCTCCTGCCTCAGCTTCCCAAATCCTAGGATGTGTGTGTGCTACCAAGCAGTCTTGGGTTAGAAAATTAAATGTAAAAATCCAATAAAATGTTTTGGAGAAATAGGAGAGGATGGGGGGTGGGCTGCAGCTCAGTGATACAATCCTTGCCTACCTCTGGAGTCAATTCCAACACTGCATGGGCAAAATATCAGGAGAGTATGTATGTAACTTTAGAGATGGGGAAATCCTTATTGTCAAGACAAGAAGCCCAGGAAACTTAAAGACATAATTTTCATTTGAACTTTTATATATCAAAGACTTATAAAGTCAAAGAACAATGACTGGAAAAAAATTTGCAGCACTTGTGACAAGATTGTCAGTTATGGTGGCCCATGCCTGTAATCAGAGCACTTAGGAGGCTAAGGCAAGTGGAAGGCCTAAATTTGAGGCCAGCCGGAGCTACACAGTGTGCTCAAATCCAGCCTAAACTGTATGATGACACTCTATCTTAAAAAATATATGTGTGTGTGTGTGGATGTAAATATATATAATTTAAAAGTTTATGCAAATGCATTAAAAAACCCAAAATATTGATGGAAAAAAAAATAGGCAAAAGACATACGCCAGAATCACAAAAGAAATTCAAGTGACCAATAAGCATGAAAAGTGTGCAGCAGAAATGCAAACTAAATTTTAAAAAGACACCATTTTCTACATATCAGCTGGCAAAGAGCAATGCCCTAATGGTAGCCAGTGCTAACAAGATGAGTAAATGGGTGTTCCGCAAGTTACTGATGGTGGAGGTAAGAATTGCTATTGCACTTTGGAAGAGTACTTGGCAGTTAAGTGATATCAATAACAGTAGTGCTGTTGATAACAAGCCTAGAAGTCCTATTTTGGGGACTTTACCCTATAGAAATAAAGGATCTAGGTACAGTACTGTTTTATTATATTGCTTTTAGGTTAGTTAAAATATTGAAGCAATCTAAATACATATCCATCGGGAAATGGCTAGTTTACTGTACATTCCTATTACTTTTCCTATTAACTGCCTATTAACTATTCAGCAACTAATACTTAGGTCTGTAACTACTGCCCTAGAAGGATGATAATGAGAAGTTACAGGTGGCTATGTTATTGTCTCAACTTCGTAACAATGCCCCAAACACCTACACTTATATGAGACAGTCTGCCGTGGATGGATACTGATTATTTCTGGAGTGATTAGAATGCTGGGGTAGGAGAGGTGTTATCAGCTCTTAAATCTTTGTATTCTTTCAGTTGTAATGAATAGTATTTCTTTAATTTTATATTTAAAACCAATGATTGTTAAAGAATGTGTCATAAGGCTGAACATGCTTTTCTAATTACATAATCTTCCTATTTTGGATAAATCAGCTCCCTACTTCCCATATCTCACAAATCCCTCACACATAAAGTGGTACATCTTATCCCAATCCAAAGAGGTGAAGTTTCTGCAAGTGTCTCTTCAATATTTTATTCCACATCTTCTCAACAAGGACCAACTCTTCCTCTGACAAGCAGCTTAATCTGCAGAGGGTTCCCTCCTGGACTGCAGTGTTCAAGAGGTGAAAATAAACACAATGTAGAAAGTTAGAATGTAAGGGGCTGGGGATTTAGCTCAGCGGCATAAGTGCCTGCCTTGCAAGCAGGCAGTCGTGAGTTCGATCCCTGGTACCCGTAAAAAGGAAAAAGACAAAAAAAAAAAAAGAAAGTTAGAATGTAAAGCCTAATAAAATGCAGAAAAATAATGAAATGTAATCACTTTGCAAAGCCTGTTGTTTAGAAGGATTTTTTTAACTAACTTTTTTTAAAGAGAAAAAAATAAAACAAAATTTCAAAACATGATGATTACAGGATAACAATGGTTAATCCATTGCATACTGTTATTTTCAAATTAGTTACTCAGAGTACAAGCTATCTGCTTTTAATTGTGAACAATACTAGCACAAACCTTTCTCTCTTCAATGAATGCAAAGAAATCAGTTGTATAACTATCTTAATTATCATATATACATGTATTATGTAATTTCTTTCTGAAAGATATTTTAGAAAGTGGTAAGATCACTTTCCAAGCCCTAACAAACAACAGAGACCAGTAATACTGGACTCTGGGAGTAGATCAGGATCATCTGGAAAGATTTTAAAACATACCAGTGATTACACTCTTACTCTAAAACAATTAAATAGGAAATTCTGTTACAAATGTGCTTTGATATTTTAATAAGACAGAGAAGGAGAACCTTACCCTGTAATTCTAACACGGAATCAGATTTTAAAACCTGGGTATGGTAGCACAAGCCTTAATCCTAGCAAAATGGGAAGGTGAAGCAGGAATACTGCAAGTTGCAGCCCAGTCAGGACAATATATCTACTTAGTGAGACTCAATCTCAAAATAAAAAATAAAAAAGGGCTGAGGATTTAGCTAATGCAAAAGACCCTGGGTTCAATCCCCAGTACCATACAAAAACAAAAACAAAAACAAAAAACCATTTAGTGACAAGCTGACCCTGACCTGAATTTAGTGAGTTTATCTTTTTTTTTTAAAGAAAAATTTCCAACACCTACAGAAGTAGGATATAATGCTTTGCCACGCACCCATCATGGAGCTCCAGTAATCAACAATTCATGGGTAATCCTGACTCCTCTATACTCCCACCATCCCCTAAGTTACCCAAGAAATCTCAATAAACGGTATGAAGTATTTCCATCGGAAGGCACCCGTCATTTGGCTGTTTCTTTCTGATGTTAACATCTACTAGTGATCACTGCCAGGATCCATTATTTCATTAGAGTTTGCCAAAGAGTGCCACTTTCCCATTCATTCTGCAATTATTCGCTAGCATCTCACAGTAATTCACAGGGTCAATTATTTGGTTACCCTGCGGTGCAATCTGTACATAAAAGATCCACAAAGAGAAACAAGATCTAATCTAATTCCTGATGATGCAAATGATACATAGTAAGCCTGTAGGTTTTCTTGTCAAAAAATGTAAGTAGAACCGGAAAAAGACTAAATACCAGCTTATTAAAAGCGTCTAATGAACATAAGACCACTTAACTAATTTCAGGAATGGGAAAAACAATATTCGACAGAAAACTTTATAGGACAAGTAAAAGGGGAAAAATGGGAGATTAAAGATTTAGGAAGTACCAACCAAACATGTAGTACCTGTTTTGATTTGGCCAAATGATAAAGGGGAGGCAGGGTACAGACAACTGGGGAAATGTACACCTTGAGTGGAGAGTACTTGATACTATGACTAATTACCTGGACTGATAATGGATTGATGTTTAAAAACGGGTTACGGTTTTATAAACATAAACAAGTAGTGGAGGTGAGGGTAATAGATAAACAGGTGACTGAGTTGGGAATTCAACACACTGTTCTATTTCCAGATAAAGTTCTCACAATAAGAAAGTTTAAAAACAAACCAAATAAAACCCTCCACTAGGTCAAGAAAGTAATCAGAAATGGTGCACGTTTGATATGCACACTCTAGATATCAGGAATTAAAAGTGAGCAAACCAGATTTGGTCTCTGTCTTCTTGGACAAAAAGAAACAGCTGTTCGCTTTTTCAAGACTGTAATCCACCCTCTACGAAGTGCACATTCCGGTCGTGATTACAAGTCACTTGACACCCTGGATCCGTGGTTCTGGGTCCTGGGTGCAGATAACAAATCACCCCATGAGATGGGGTCTCAGCATTTACAAGGCTTCCCAAGTGGTTCTTAGGGTCGCCCGAATAAGAACCAGCGCTTCTCAGTTTTCAGGCAGACTGCATCAGCCCTATAATCACTCCGTAGCAGCGTAGGTGAGGCAGACAGCGCCCTCCTCCATTTTACAGAAGAAAGAACCCGGGCCAGAGGGAGAGAGTGAATGGCTAAGCACAGGCAGGTCCTTAGGCCAGGCCTCCAGCCTAAGCTCGCCTAGAAGATCATGTCACTTTCGTAAAAGGATAGGTGGGCGGCGGTGTCAGCGCCGGGCGGCCGAGGCTCCGGCCCGAGACGCGTCCTCACTCCCAGGCCTGGCTTCTCCGCGCCAACTGGACCAGGCCGGACCAGGCCGGGCCAAGCCGAGGAATCTCGAGGAAGCGCGCCAGCCCCCCTCCGGCACGCCCTTCCCCACTCACCCTCTCCCCGAGGCCCGGGTAGGAGCTGAGCGAGAAACAGGCCCGCTCCAAGGCCCCGCACTTCGCGGGGCAGCGATGCGCGCAGGCGGAAGTGCGCCGCCGGCTGCGTCCAGATCGGCCGCTCTAGGATGCGCAGGAGGCCCGCGCTCGGTGGCACCCATCCTGGGCTGGGTTCCAAAGGCTTCCTGAAACCCGGAGGGTTGACGGGAAAGTTCCTGCCGGTCTCCGCCTGCTTTCCTGGTCTCTCTAGGGTGTTTTGTTTTTCATGTTTGTCAGTCAGAAATGACCTTCTTGCTGCTTTGCTCAGGCACGTTTGTATATTTTTAAATATTTGCTTGCAATGAATTTCCAGCCTCTAAACCTGAAAGTTTAAACTTGTGGCACCTTAAGCGAGAAAGTTAGGAGCCTTCAGCGAAACCGAGTATCTTGATGAGCTCCGGCCCCTATTTCCATTCTGGCTTCCCTAGGTTACACTGTCCGTTTGCTTGAAACTGAAGCTCTGTGTGCTGTGCTTGCCTCCAAGCCTTTAGGACGTGTTCTCTTCAGGAATCAGACCAGAAACTGATACAGCAGGTCGCGATTACGAGCAATAGAAGTGGGTATTTTGACTGCAGTTTTTAGAGATTAGTTGTTTTGTTTTGGTTGGTTGTTCTGTCTTACTGGGGGGCTGTATTAGGGGTGCCCTATCACCGTGCTGCATCCAAAGACCTTTCTATATTTTATCTGGAGATGGCCCAGCTGCCTTTAAACTGGCTATCCTACCTTAGCCTCCAGAGTAGCTGGGATTGCTGCCTTCAATCTTGTTATCCTCCTGCATCAGCCTCCCCAGTACAGTAGCTGGGGTTACAGGTGTGCACCACCAGGCCCAGCTAGGGTGAAAATTTTTGAAACTACCAGAAGAAAATGAGGTATATCCCTCCACCTTGTACTTCATTCGAAAAACACTACTTGGTCTGCTTTTTGGGCTCTTCAAAGTCTTATTTATTGAAGTATTAATTGAGTTCCAGCTTTGTGGATAGTATTATTTTTGGTGCTGAGAAAATTTTTTAAGTGTCAAAGACCTTACACTAAGGCTGGGAAAAGGTGTATCAGGAAGCAGTCAACTAATAATATGAGGGACAAATGAGAAAAAAGAAAAGAGTGGTTAAAAGTAGAGAAATACGCTGAGGTGGAATAGAGGTCAGTGGTAGGTAGAGGGCTTGTCTGGTGCACAGGAGGCCCTGGATTCAATTCCTAGCACTTCAAAAACAACAAAAAACCACAGGCGGGGGAGTTAGCTCAGTAGTATAAGCGCCTGCCTGGCAAGCACGAGGTCCTGAGTTTGATCCCCAGTTCCACAAACAAAACAGAAAAGAGCTGGGTGTTGTGATACACACCTGTAATTCCAGCTACTCAGGAGGCTGAGGAAGGAAGACAGCAAAAATATGAAATGGAAAATTATGCTTTATTTTGTGTTGGTTTTGAATTTTTGAGATAGTCTTACTATGTAATTCAGGCTGGCCTTGAAGTTGCTATGTAGCCCAGGCTACCTCAAACTTGAGGCAGTCTTTCTGCCTCAGCCTTCTAAGTGCTGGTATTACAGGGGTGTACCACCAGAAAATTCTAGAAGTAAACAATTCATGAGCTTTGAATTGCAACCCATTCAGAGTAGCATGGAATCTTGTGCTGTCTTTCTCCATCCTCCTTGTGATGTGAATCATCGCTTTGTTCAGTGTGTCTCCCCCTTCCCCCACCAGGGGTCAAACTCATGACCTTGTACTTGCCCAGCCCTTCTTCAGTGTGTCTTTGCTGTATGTACTATCTGCAAGTTAGTCCCTCAGTTGTCAGATTGCCAGTTATGGTATCATGGTGCTTAGGTTCAAGTAACTAATAATGGCCCCCAAAGCACAAGAATAATGAGGCAAAGGAAGCATGAAACATGAAACATAAAACATTAATGGAAGGTGTTCAGGGCACATAGGGAAAAATTCTGTGTGTGTGTTTTGCGTGTTTTTTGGTACTATCCAAAATTTCAGGTATCTACCGGGGGTCTTGAAATGTATCCTCTAAGGAATAAGGGAGGACTGTTGTATAAATCTGGAAGAATACCCTCAGCAGAAACCCTCTTCTTTGGGTTTTAGCCTCTAAAACTGTAGAAAAATAATTTGCTTTCTTTTTTTTTTTAATCAGTACCGGGGATCAAACTCACGACTGCCTGCTTGCAAGGCAGGCACTTATGCCACTGAGCTAAATTCCCAGCCCCATAATTTGCTTTCTCTAAGCCACCCAGTCTCTGGTATTTTATTATGGCAGCCTGAGCAGACTAAGGCAGTAGAGTTATATGACTTTTTTTTTTTTGAGTGTGTGGTTGCTTATTAATCCATTTTTCGCTGGCTGAATGCATATATGACAGAATTCGGTTCATTAAAACCTAGCACTAAAGTGGGACACAGCTGATCCTCAAGTCACTTCAAACCTCTTCAGTACTATTATTGAGCTGAAAGTACCACATGAGGGTAGGTATCCAAATTGGCTTAGGTTATTTCACAGTCTGATTTGGAGTTGGGGTGGTATATCTGTGGGGCAGAGTGGGCCCACTATCAGAAAATTCAGAAAGTCTGTCTCACCAAATATGTCATAATTTCAGGGTTTGTATTCTATATTCCTACATCCTGAATCACCTGCTGTGCTATTGCAGGTTTTCTAATAAGAAGACAGTAAGATTAAATCTGCTGGTAATGCATTAGGGGAAACGCCTGTGACAATGGGAACCAGCAAGGCTATGAGCATCCTCAGACCACAATACAGGTGTGATCCAAAATAAAGGGAAGCAGGAAGAAAGAAATGTTATATAACAGGTCATCTTAGATTGAAGGACAGATCCGAGCTCAGGAAGGCCACAAGGGAAGCCTTGAGCTCAAGTTACCTTTCAAGAAATCCTGGGGAGCACCAGGAATGGGCCTGCTGTGTATGATCGCTACTGCTCTAAGTTGCAGCCAGCAGATGATGTGGCTTCTCCATCCATGTGATGATGGATTTCAGAGCTCTGCAACTGGGCAGGTAGGCAGTTGTCTCCCAGCAGTCAGAGATGAAACAGGCACACTTTCATTGTTGCCACACCCGTGGTGTCTTGAGTGTAATTTTTAGACCACCTTGAGAAAGAAAATTCTTCATGTTGAACATTATCTTCATTTAGTTTAGACACTGAGGTGATGTTGGTATTTGTTTACTATCCAAGAACAGAGCAATAAATGTTTTGGAGAAGGAGATGCTGAGCCGATCTTCTCGCTGATGTGTCCATGTTGTTGCTTTGGCGGGTGATGGAAGGCCTGGGTAGGTTGGGCTAAGTCAACCTAGAGGAAAGTTGGGGGCCTGTATTTCACATCAAACTTTCCAATAAAGAAGCATGGTGGGCTAGTTAAAAAGAGTGTTGTTTATTTGTTCCTCACCTACCTTTGGTAAAGAAAATCCCTCTTAGAAAATCTGATAAAGATGACTGGCCCTTTCCCTACTAGAAAGAGGCACACACAGTCTCATATACTATATCAGGGGCTTCATAGTGGCTCAATTCGTAGATGAAGAATGTATGAGCTGGACACTGTTCTGGGTGCCAATGATAAAAAAAAAAAAAAAACTAATAAAATAGGTATGGTATTGAAAATTCGTATTTGGGGCTGGAGATTTAGCTCAGCGGCATAAGCACCTGCCTTGCAAGCAGGCAGTCAAGAGTTCGATCCTTGGTACCAATAAAAAGGAAAAAGACAAAAAAAAAAAAAAAAAACAAAAGAAAATTTGTATTTGTCCTTCTTTGCTGTTTGTCACTTGGAATCTTCAGTAATAAGACTTTTTTTATGCTAATGAGTTGACCAGTGGCTACAGCACTTAGTAGCTTCAGGATGTGTACTGGTCACAGGAAAGACCAAAGCAACTTTAGAACGTAAAGTCCCATAGTCTCATTCCAAGTTCTGCAGAGGGGGGAGGGGCTGAAGATTGAGTTAAACCCCCACAGAGGTTGTGGAGCACTGATCGAGTGGAGCGTGGTGGAGGATGGCATCTGGAGGGGCCGTGGAAGCTCCATGTCCCTTCCTTCAAAACTTGCCCTGGTGTCTCTTTATCTCTATCCTTTGTCATAGCTTTCATAATAAACCAGTGAATGTGTTTTCTTGAGTTCTGTAAGTCACTCAGGTGACCTAATCAAACCTGAGACAGGGAGGCTGTGGGAACCCAGTTTGATAACCAGTTGGGGAGACACCTGGGTAAAACATCTGGGGCTTGGAATTGGCATCTAAAGGGAAGCAGTGTTGGAGACTGAGCCTTCAGTTGTGGGATCTGATGCTGTATCTAAGTAGAGTGTCAGAATTCAAATAGAGGACTCGGGGCTGCATTGTTGCTTGCCTGGAGTGAAGAGACCCCTCCCAGTTTTGTGATATGATAGTGGGAAAACTGAGTTGATAGTTTTTTCAATAGACAAAAAGCCTTATTTTCATGGATTTCATGTTCTATAGGGGAGAGGCAAGAAACAAAATTCCTAATATCACATAGTGATTAAGGTCTGTGGAGAAAATTAGTGGAGAACATAGGGTTTTGGGCGTTTGGACTGCAGTGTTTTTCTGCTTCTAAGGATTAAACCCAGGCTTTTCACACAAAGGTATAGCCCCAGGCTTTTTTTATTTTTTTGAAAGTCTTGCTGAGTTTAAATTGTTAGGTTGCCAGGCTGGGCTTGAACTTGCAGTCATTACGCCTCAGCTTCCCGTAGTGCTGGAATCACAAGTGTGGGCCACCATGCTTAGCTTGGGCTACAGTTTTTAAAGATGAATTAGAAAAAGCCTCACTGATGTGACATTTGAGCAAAACCCTGCAGGAGGTACAGAAATAAGCCATGGAGCTTTGGAGTGTTGCCAGCAGAGGGGCAGCAAACGGAGAATTGTGAAATTGTTTGGTGTATATATCAGGTGCTTAATCTTCTTTCACAGTCAGAAAATAAACCTTTATGTATACAGAATGAGAAAGAACGAATGAAAAAACAAATGGAGCAAAATGTAAGTAATAGATTCTTCTGGGTAAAGGTATTTTAAAGTTCCTTGTATTATTCCTGCAACTTGCCTATAACTTTGGAATTGTATCTACTAAAGGAACACACACAAAATAAACAAAAGAGAGAAGAAAATGGCCAATTCTGTCAAATGATGTTTATGGGTTTAGCAATTTAAATTTAACATCATTAGGCAATGTATAGGTCTCCACGGAGGGTACATTTGAAGATCTCACTCAAAGTGGATGCAAGAGCGTGGAAGATGAGAAACTGGAGTTAGGAAGCACAGAGTAAATACAGAACATCTTTTGAAGAATTTTGCTTTGAAGGATAGTGACTTAGAACAAAAGCTGGAGGAGTCAGGAATCCTTAAGAGTGAGACAAATAACAGATGCCTGCATGCATCTGTGCACAGGCATAAACTGTGAGAGGAAGAACTGATTGTGAGGGGAGAACTGAGGAGGTAAAGCCCTTGAGTGGAGGGAGGAGATAAGGCCTAAGGGCAGAGATGTAGGGTGGTCCCTGTTGGTGCAAGCATAGCTGGTGCCTAAGTGTGTGGGTGCCAAATGCAGGCTGATCCCTTCAAGTCAAAGATCCTCTGGAGCACACCTGTTGCTGACCAAGTTGGATTTATCACTGCAAATGAAGGACATACAGTATGCAAAATATGGGCATCTCAGTGCAGGGGATGGGGTGGGGCAGGGTTGGAAAGTACCCCTGGAAAGATTTGTGTTAGGTCGGATAATTTTGCAGAGGAACTGTGGAAGTTGAAGTTCACTCTGGATTGAGTGTGTTGGGAAGCAGACAACTTTGTGGCCGGTAGCCTCAATAAAATTTCTTTATAGGGAATGCAGACTCATGAGTCAGGGACTTTAATACTCAGTAGTTAATCACAGGGGCCAGGATTTGGGGGAAGGGGAGTTTGGTTACTTTGCAGTTTAGACAGTGCTCATATTTTATCTGTACACAGACTTGATTACACAGAGGCCCTGTTTTTTATCTAGATCCATCTTGGTCAGAGTGGCCTTATCCGATGTTGGTATTGTGTGACTTGGTCAATGCTCAATAGAATGCCAAAAGTAAGTTGGGCTCTAAGCTGCCTTTTACCCATAGCAGGCCTGGCTCTTGGTGTCAGAAGCTGTTGCTTTTCATTTTCTCAAAGCACCTGCATTGATGGGGTAAGAATCCAGGGTGTTCTCTTCTGATTGTTTTATTTCTCTGTGAAGTTGGAAGCAAGGCACCTGATGAGTGATGCAGAATACAGATCTGACAGTCGGCAGACAGGGAAATGCCAGGCAGCAAAAAATGATAAGCAGTTACCAAGTGAGACAGACACCATGACGGCAGTTTTCTGCAGCCTTGCTCTGCTGTGTGGGCTGTGGGTCAGATTTGTGGAGTCTGGTTTAAACAGACTGAAGTTTGGTCAAAGCATGGTGGAAGAGGATTGAATTCTGACATTGCCAATTTATATGACTCTAATCCCTGTGCCTAAGATGCTACATCTGTGAACAGGGAAAAAATTAGTACCCATATCTTTTAAGGATACTGTGAAGTTTAAATGAATAAATATGTAACAGGTCCTGGAATAGCGTCTGGCTTGAAGAAAGTCCTCAATAGGCATTATCTATTGCATCATTCCCCACCTCAATCACTCGATCAGAAGTCCTTGCCAATCTATTTTTTTTTTTTTGAACTTTCTCATTTTTATCGGTACTAGGAATCGAACTCACGACTGCCTGCTTGCAAGGCAGGCGCTTATGCCGCTGAGCTAAATCCCCAGCCCCGCCAATCTATTTTAATATCAGAGTTTTGGTGTAATTGTGTGTGTGTATATGCAGGTAGAAAAAATCCCTTTACTGCTGAAATTAAATAAGGAAAGAGTACAAAGCTGAACAGGTGGAATTAGAGATGGGGAGCAACGTGTGAACTAGAGATGGGGTCTAACAATTTTCCAAGTGTCATGGATTTTGGAGTATGTGTCTTAGGGTTTATGATAATACCAAGGTGTGTGTGTGTGTGTGTGTGTGTGTGTGTGTGCAGGTAGTTTGAGGCCACCTGGACTATTGAGAGCCTATCTCAAAAAAGCAAAAAACAAAAACAAAAAACCCAGCAAAACAAATGCCAACAAAACCAGTCATGAAGCATTTTTTATGCACAGGAAATTTTACTAAGAATATACAAGAACACACATCTCATTACAATATAACACAAAAGGGAAAAATAATTCACATAAATATAATGTCTTTAAGATTGTTTCTTGGACCATGTATATGCTCTATTCAAGGCAATCCACTTAAAACTAGTATTCCCACAAGCAATTACAAGACTAGGCAATCCATCATTTTATCTCAAACGCAAAGGTCAGAAAGGCTAAGTGTAACTTTTTTTTCTTAAAGTCAACAATTCTTAAGTGTTACCCAAAGGAACACAAAAATATCAGTTGCAAAAATACAGTTTTATTTCTAAAGATCATTAGACAAAGTACAATTAAACAGTAGGTAAAAATTTTGTCAAATAGCTAAAATAGGCCTCTATTCAATGTTTTATATTAGTACATTCTAATTGTTCTTATCTTTTAATGGAAGTATTATGCATATAATACAATAAATATCTTCTAGAATGTACCTTATAATACAAATGCACACCAACACATGTGGATTCACAAGTATTATAAGTACTACTGAAACTTGTTTACACAAATGTGATAGCAGCTGGTGAGTCTATAAAAACTACTAAATCAAAAGATGTTAATGAACTAGCCTATATAGAATCTTTGGTGTAACTTATTAAATCCCAAACCAAATTCTTTATGGATACATCTGAAAGTTTATGAACCCTTACTTAAGAAAGGGTATAATTAATGTTTTAAAATGTAAGCATCAGTTTATCTAGCCCCCATCAATACTCATGTCCTACGTTGGCCTGCCTAAATTTACTGAAATTTGAAAAAAATTTTTTACTGTTAAAAAAAAATCCTACCAGAAGCTAGGTATGGTAGCATATGCCTATAATGCCAGAACTCAGGAAGCTGAGGCAGGAAGATCACCTCAAGGGCAATCTGGGCTACACTGTGAGTTCAAAGATAACCTGAAGTATTTACTGAGAAACTTGTTTTAAAAAAAAAAAAAAAACTTTTCTTGACTTCAGATGAAGTTTTTTTTTAGAGCTGAATTATCTTGACTATTTAAAATACAAAGTATATTCTATAGCCAGGGGTTTAGCTCACTGGTGTAAGTGCCTGCTTGGCAAACACAAAGTCGTGAGTTCGATCCCCAGTACCAAAAACAAACAAATAAACAAAACAAAGTATGTTCTTAGCTCATCTACAGAAGAGTTTTAACACTTATATGTAAAAAGTGTAAGTTGTGAATTGAGAGCTAAGTAGGTAATGAACTGTGCCACACGCTAGTCAGCAGTGTGCCTACACCTGGACACAGGTGGTCTTGTTTTGGATGGCATTACAGTGCTATTCCATTCTTCAGGACTTCCCTTTAAATGGAATCCCAATGAAGAGCTTTGAGATATATACTAATCTTGGCAACTACTGCCTACCCACCAGAACTGAATTCAACAGAATACTGAAGCTATGTGAATGTGAACAATGTGGTGGCATACACTTGTAATCCTAGTACACATGAGGCTAAGGCAGGAGGATCGCCAAAAGTTTAAGGTCAGCTTGGGGTACACAGTGAGTTCAAGGGCAGCCTCAACTACATAGTGAGACCTTGTCTCAAAAAACCTAGTATTTATCCTAGAGGATTCTGAATTCTGAATTGGCTTGACAAAAACAAAAACAAAAACAAAAAAAACACCTCTAGGAGCTCTGGGTTCCCTACCAAGGAGGACTTTCTTCACTGGCCCCATCCATTTTAGGCTTTGTTTTCTGGGAACAACTAATGCTCCACACTCCTTAATAATCATTATAGTCAGTCTAAATTCATTAGTGAGTCTTTTGTAAAAATGTAAAACCCCATTTCTCCAGAGGCTGATAACTGAGAAAGAACAAAACATAAGGAAGTGTTATTAGAGAATAAAATAGAACCCCCCCCCCACAGATGTCCATCAGATAATCTTTTACAAATGAATACTGGTTGCTAGATTTCATTTACCTTTGTTACATATCTTTTCTTATTAACTACAAATCTATAGTCAAATAGTACTTTTATTTTCAGAAAAACTTGTTTAAAAGTTCTATATTAATTGTTAGCATCTTGTAAAAACCTAATAAAACCAGATGGAAGCTATTCTATGCAAAACATAATCTCAGTTAACTGTTCTCATGTAGACTGAAACACAGTTACAGAAACACTAAAACTACACACCTCTCGGCATGTGCTCTGTACAACTGCTGGGAAGACTGTCAGAAATGCAGAATCTCAGGCCCCACCTTGACCCCTGCACCAGCATCAGCACCAGCATAATTGGTTCTCCAGCTGATTTGTTGTCCACTCTAAGGCAATGATTGTGAGGGGAAGAGCTGTGTATCAGAATCATCTGGAAGCCTGCGGAAAATACATCTAACGGGGCTCTGCCCTGTTGGTCTAGAGGGAGAGGGAACAGAGGCATCCCCATTTTAAAGACTGTTTACAGTGATTCTGAGGCAGCCTCCTGATTGAGAATCCGTCCTTATGAGCTGGGCATGGTGGCTCATGCCTGTAATCTCAGCACTCGGGAGGCTGAGGTGGGAGGATCGTTGGGAGTTTGAGACCAGCCTGGGCTACAAAGTGAGCTCAAGGCCAGTCTGAACTGCATAGTGAGACCCCGTCTCAAAGAAGAAAAAAAAAAGAGAAAGAGAATCCGTCTTTAGCTGAATTTGATGGTACTTGCTGGTAATCCCAGCACACCAGGAGGTTGAAGCAAGAGGATCCCAAGTTTAGGTCCATCCTGGACACTTAGACTGTCTCAAAAAATTATAAAGGGCTGAGGATATACTCAATGCAGAGAGCCTGGGTTCAATTCTTAATACTGGACCAAACAAAAACAAAAACAAAAAAACCCCTCAAAAAAACCAAAACAATAAAAATCTTTGAAAAATATTTTAACCAAAACTAGAAACTTTCCCCTTATTATTGTCAATGAACCTTCCCTCATTAGTTATCTAGTTTCTTTCATAACACAGGTGGTGGTGACAGATGAGGAAAACATGGATTTATCTTTCTTTTCCTACTACTTACTAAAAATTAATTTATAGAATTTCTTTAGTTTTTAAGATAATTTTCTTCCTAAAGGTTCTTATGGAAACCCCAAATATTTACTCTTCCAATTTGATGCTACTATGGCCATTTGTATTCTTAAATACTAAACAGTATTAAATTTAATTTATAGCTAATAATTGATACTTCTTCAAATACTAGTTTGTAAATAATAAACATAAGTAGATTTTTGAAAAGACTAATTCAACGTATGTCCCTGCCTTTAATCAACACTAAGCAAAAACCAGGCTCCTAATTATATTTACACTATTAAAATAAAGTACATATTTCACACAGAATATTGGTAGAGGTGATTTTATTTTCAAAAAACAACATGAAAAACACAAACCTTTCATCTTTAATTAAAAGAATCAAATTGTGACCTAATTCCTTGTTTTTTTGAGACAAACTTCTGACTTTAAATGGATTAACCAACTATATTTTTCAATATTCCAAATGGCAATCCCATTTCAAACTTTTTTCCCCTGGTGGTCCTGTGGATCAAATCCAGGGCCTTGTACACACTAAGCATTCTTAAAATAATAAGTTATGTTCAAAATTTATTATGAATCAATCTCAATAGGCAGATGAGAAGACAAAAAACAAAAAAGCCTCTTTTACCTACAAATATTAAATGTGTTTACTGATAAATATCTATGAATAATTTGTTTTTGTTGTTACTATTTTAGAAAGGCCATTTAGCAGTTTTATCCTCTTGCAGGGTGTGGTAGCACACATGTAATCCCAGCTACTCAGGAGGATCACAACTTAGCAAGAGCTTGTCTTAAAAAAAAAAGAGCTAAGGATATAGCTCAGGATAGAGTACCTTGGGGTTCAATCTAATCTCAAAGGAAAAAGTTTTGCCCTCTCAAAGCATCCATGATGGGTAGATACTACAGTCATACTATTTCTTAAGATGTCTTTGAATTTTCCCCTAAAATCTCCAGTATATACCACACAACAAAACTTGGTCTTTTAGCCATTTTACAGGATTAAAAATGGCATTTCCTCGCCACAACACTTATTCCTTCCCACTCAACTCTGAAAAATATTAAATCCATCTTCAATACAGAAAGAGTTGTCACTACTAACAACATTCAAAGGAATATATGATGGAATCCCAAATTATATCAAGTAAGAAGAGCATCACTGTTGGGATAATGGTATATTTTCAATAATGGAATGTGTTCAGATGTGAATCAGAACTTACTTAATACTGTTGCAAATGACTGTTTTCCTTGTCTACCGGCAGCAGTAGTATAATTCCCATTATTTTCTCATAATGTTACACTTAAACCTTGATTTAGTTGCAAAAAATGGGAAAAAAATTTTCTATTATAAAGGAATTTCAAAGCATTAAGATAAAATAAAGCAGATATTTTTAAAGGAAGTTTTAAATACTGGTACTTTGGAGTTTGGTTAAAATGTGTTTCTATTAAAAATTCACAGAAGTAAATTTCAGTGAGGGAAGATTATCATCTGTAACAGTAAGTAACAATACCTTGGCAAGAATGAACAAGAGTGGGAGCAAAGGCATCCACAGAAGTATTTTTTACATCTCTTGCATGTGGTAATGGGCTACAAACCAGGACTGAAGCATTATGGTTACTGGTGATAGGGTGCTGGTTCCCCTCAAGACAGTCAACACATCTACCCCAACCAACGTGTAGACTCATGGAAAAAGTAAGTCAACGAAAGCAGTGGGGAAGAACAGAACGCAGATATTCTCTCTTTTGTTTAAAACAAACAAACAAACAAACACGGGTTCCCTGATGTATGGAAAGTGTTTATCAGTGCAGTGCTTCTATTCTGTTATTGGGGGAGGTCTTGATGCAGCTTCTGGCCACTCATACATATCTGGCAGCAGGGAATCATATTCACTTCGCCATATTCTTTCTTTAACATACTTGGCCTTGTCTTCAGGTTCTGGATATCGGAAAGCCATTTTGTTAGTATATAAGTATTCTGTAACCTGAAAAATAAGTAAAATTATTATGTAGGATCTGAAATATTAACCTATCAGAAGAAAGTACTATTATTTCACATATAAATGAATTTAAAAGAATATTATTTTTTTTCCAAAAATAATACTTTAACTCTTTTCAAAACAATGTAAACCATAAAATAAAACTCACCTATCAGGTCATAGTAAATCTGATATACTTTAGTCACCTCCCATGGTCTCAATAATTAATCACATTTCCCCAATATTTCAACCCAATAAGTGAACTTAAGTTTTACCATGTGTCAGTCCAACAGACACATGTGGGTGATTTGCCCAGCATGTTTTTCCTCACATCTCTGCTGAAAGGTGGGCTGAGAGAGCCACGGAGTTAGACTCTAATTCTAGCCATGACTGACTTGACTAGGTGAGACCCTACCTCAAAGGGAGCCAGGCATGTCTACTCTAGAAGTTTAATTGAGAATCATGGAAATTATCATAAATCAGGTGTTGGCCAGTTGGAATAAAGTGGCGTGAGTGCATTTCTGATCTCTGCAACCAATCCACACACCATGGTAAGTGATGAGAATAAATCCTTTGTGCCTTGGTGTGATGTAAAATGAGGAGTACAGAAAGCGTCCTCACAGGGTAGAGCACTGTGCCTGCCACAGTTACGTTTACAAACTATAGTTTTATTTCAACTTGGAAAAGACAGATTAAGAGAAGCAAGTAACCCCAGCAATCTGGAAGACTGAGTTAGCAGGATCGGCTGGGGATTTAGGTCAGTGGCATAAGTGCTTGCCTTGCACTCTGGGAGACTGAGTTAGGAGGATCACAAGTCTGAACTCAGCTTGGGCAACTTAGTGACTTTGCAAGGCCCTGTTATAAAAGTTTTAAAAATGTCTGGGGATGTAGCTGAGGGTAAAGGCCCTGGTACAGAGGGAAAAAAGTGTCATGAGACATGGTTATAAAACAAAATCCTCCTCTAATTCCCATTCCAAATTGCGACCACTACTAATGTTTCTTCTTTCAGTTTTCCTAAAGAAAAAATTAGTAAAATGGTGATTAAGAAAATAATCCTTAATCCTAGTACAAGCTGAAGAAGCCAGCAGATTCCAAGACCAACAGCCACAGACAAGAGAGACCTCCACAAATGGCTACATTCTCCAGCCAAGTGCACAGAAGGTCAGCCTGACAAGGCAGAAAATCTTTTGACAATAACCATTCTACTCTGGCCAAACACCTTAGAAAATACACTACTGTGCCCTGTTCTACTTATGTTAACAGAAAGTTGAGCGAGGATCTTAAAGACTTACACCAAGCTGCAAAAAGGTAACCCAACCACCCCAACAGGTGGGACAAAGAAGGCCAAGGATCCAGCCAGGGTTTTCATCCCCGAGGTCAGCAGGAGGATATTTGGGGGTTTTTTGGCTCTGTTGCCCAGACTGGTGTCTCAACTTGTGGGCTCAAGTGATCCTCCTACTTCAGCCCCCTCAGCAGCTGGAGAACACATGCCACTGTGTCCAGCTAGCAACAGAGGTTTTGCTTCTCCTTCCCCACCCCTGCACACAGGCAGCAGAGACCATGTGGGGAGCACAGATTTCGAGCCCTAAGCAGGGAGTAACAAGTCATTCCTTCAACGCCAGAAGTAGGGGACAGTCAGGATTTGGTAATAAGCCTCTAGTAATGAGGTCACCAGACTGCAGGGTTAGCAGGGAACAGTGGTGACAAGAAGCACCCTTCCCAGGTATCCACAGAGGCAGAGTGTACTTCTTCACCTGCAGTGACAAGGCCACAACAGTGTACGAGAAGGTCATTTAAACAGGCTTCAGACTCTCTTAAACATTTAGGTCTTTAAAAAAGTACAACAATCAAAAACTATGCATTATAACAAGAATCAGAAAGATATCAAATTATAGAAAAAACAACAAATATAAGAATAAAGGTGGCAGAGATGTTAATATTATCTGACAAAAAAAGACAAAAATTATTACCTGACAAAGGTTTTAAAGCAGTCATGATAACACCTGGGAAAGCAATTATGAACAAGCTTAACACAAATGAAAGTTAGGAAGTCTCTACAAGGAAACCAAAACTATCATCAGTAAAGAAACAGAAGATACACAGAACCATATAGAAACAGCTCTAAAAAGGCAAATAAGCAAAATAGAAAATTTAGTGGGTTAGATTAACAGACAAAAGAATGAATAAAATAGAAGACAGAAAAATAGGAATTAACCATCTGAAAACAGAAAAAAACAGATTTTGGGGAGTATATATGTTCCTACCTACCTAGAGCAACTACTAAAAAGCTATACAAAGAGATAAATAATTCTATAGTAGGATTGAGGATGTAGCTTAGTGGTAGAGCATTTAAACCCTATGTTCAATTCTAAGCAACATACACACACAAATGCAAACAACAGAAAACACAGCAACCCTAAATGTGTTCACAATCAACAACTGCTGAATTAAGAAATAAATCTGCAATTACAGTTTGGATTATAACACTCCTCTTTCAACAAGCCTTAGGACAACTAAACAAAAATCATTAAGAATATAGAGCTCAATACTACCACTAGCTGGTAAGAGCTAGACATTTATAGGATAAGCCATTCAACAGCAGCAAAATACATACAGAAATTCTACATATGTATGCACTAAACAAAAAAAGAATTGAAAACGACAAATCTAGAACAATAGCTGAAGTCAGAGCCATGCTATTTTAAAATGTTTTTAAGTCTGCTCAGCCTTTAATAGCTTGCCACTACCCTCAAAATAAAATTGCAGACTCCTTACTGTGATTATTCCAATTACCCTAACCCATCTCCTCTCTTTCATTTTAAATATATCTTGCTGTCTTCCTCCACCGCACTCCACCTCACTCCAACAGTTACGCAGTGTCTTACTCTGTAGTTAAGGCTGGCTTGGGATTATATAGCCTGGGCTGACCTCAAACTCAGCATCGTCCTGCCTCTGCCTCTGACCGTTGGCATGTGCCACTGTACCCAGCTGATGTTTCTCCTTTACGTCCATTTTCTAGACAAATGGGACTTGTTACAATACCACATAAACCCCTCCCACATTTGAAAGTCCCCTGTATGAAACCTCCTGTCCTCTAATCTAGCTAATTCTTCATCCTATGACATATATGATATTGACAGGATATCAAGAACACTTTGCCAGAATAGAACAAAGATCCCCATGTCTGTGCTACTCAGAGTTCTCAGATAAGCAGCATCAGCATCGCCTGAGAATTTGTTAGAAATGCAAATTCTTGAGGTCCACCCCAAGATAGAATTTGCTAGAAATGCAAATTCTTGGGGTCTACCCCACGGTTCTCTATGCCAAGAGAATATCTATCCCAGACCTACAAAGTCTTTTACTTCCAGAGATTGCTGGTAAGGCCCTGAGCTCTGCTTTAACAAGCTCTGCAGGTAATTTTGATGCATTTTTCAGTCTGAAAAGCACTTTCACCTGATAAACCCTGTTGTCTTATAGGTAAAGCTCCTATCTTCTATATTTTAGGGTTTTTCATTTAAATATAAGTGGACAGGAGTTTTTATTTCTGATTAAAATGTAGAAAGTTGCAAAGCACATCAATTATAACAATAAGAACTGAACAAAAAGAGAGACAAAAGATGGTAAGGAAAAACAAGACACAAAAACTCTTGCCTGTAGCAGAGCATGAGACAGGGTATTAGGTACTGTGCTGGCCACTGCAATACAGGTAAGTGGTGAGTTACATTTTTAAAGCTGACAAAAATTAACATTAACTAGTATTTTAGCCACAAGCTCCACACAGGAGGATAGGGTGGGGTTTGCACTCATTGGCAACCCACAATTCTCTAGACATACATACAGCAAGGACTACGGGAGAGGTGTGAGATTAAAGAGAGCCCCTTTGGTGATGTGAGCCAGCAGGAAGTGAGCTGGTGACCCTAAAAGAAGCACATGCAACCCTGTGGCTATGGTAAATTCTCCAACCCACAAGGCTAAAAAAGGAGGTAATTGGTGCTTGCAAGTTGGGATAAAGAGAGAGGCAAAGTCCTACCTACTTTCTGGAACCTTTTTTTCTAAAAAAGAAATTCCATGCTACAGAAGAAGTGACAAACTCTTTACCCTGACCCAGGGAATGGGGGACAAAGGGTGGGTATGCATGTGACATAATAGGCTCATGATGCTACTAATGGAAGCAGAATTCTGCCCCCCTGCTTTTTTCTTTGCTGTACTGGGATATCAGGCCCCAGACCCTGAGTGGCCTAGAGTAGCAAGCATTCCGCCACTCTAATCCTAGGCCTCCCATGTAACAGAGTGAGATCTTACAGACACTTTCCAAAGTCTGCTCCAACTACAACTGTCTTCCATAAATTTTAAAGTTGAACTCTATCAATTCTATGTTCTAAAAAACCTTCAAATGTTATACACTCTAAGGTAATCTGATTCCTTAGTTTGGCACTAGTACATGGCTATAATATAACTTTCAGATCTTCTCTTATGCCATTTTCCTACCTGTACCTTAAAACTCCAGGTCAAACAGGCCTGGTTCTTATTCCCTAAAAATATTATTCTTACATATTCCCAATCTTTGCTTAGGTCATGAACATCAAAATAATGTAAAAAACATTAAAAGTCAAAAGGACAAAAACTTCAGTCTACACTGAAGTTGAAAATGTGCATAATAAATTCCAGATCTTATTCTGCTGTTTAAGAAAATCTTAGTAAACTAGAATATAAGCCTACTTCATCAGTTACACATATTAAAAATAATTTTTTAATATGACTCAAAAATATTCCAAAAGAACTGAGAAAACTATTATGATAATTAAAGTTGTTCAGTAAAGCAACTGGTTCCTAACTGAAATTCAAAAGAACAATTTTCATATTAGAAATGATCACCGAACATGGTAGCACATGCCTATAATCCTAGCTCTTGGGAGGCTGAGGAAGGAGGATCACTGTGAGTTAAAGGTCAGCCTGGGTTACATAGTAAGTTCAAGGCCAGTGAGAAAATAGGAAAAGATAAAAACTTCATTATACAGGATAACAAAAATTATAAAATATTTGACACAAGTGTTGAATTTACATGAATAAAAGAACACGATATACTGAAAAACTTAAAACGAGATTTTAGTAGGTAGAGAGATTGACTGAGAATGTCTTAGTAAGAAGGATTCAGTTTCACCAATTTATTTACTTTTGATACTGGGAATCAAACTCACAACCTTGTGCTTGCCAGACAGGCGCTTAGGCCACCGAGCTAAATCCCCAGCCCACCAATTTAATTTTAAACTGTAACATTGAAGCTGGGGGTGGTAGTGCACATCCATAATACCAGCACTCAGAAGGCAGAGGCAGGAGGGTTTTTTTTTTTTTTTTGCCTTTTTGAGACACAGTGTCACTATGTAGCCAGGCTGGCCTTAAATATGACCTTTCTGCCTCAGCCTCCAAAATACTGCGATTGCAGTCATGCACCATCATGCCCAGCTGAGGCAGGAATATTACGAGTTCAAGACTAGCCAACACTACACAGTGAGACTGATTCAAAATAATCAAGCAACCAACAACAAACAGCAAAGTCTTCACAAATGTACACATCTATCTGTACAGAGGATGTTCATGTGTAACAGTAAGAAACTAAAGACGCTCAGATGTTCAAAAAATAGAGAAATCATTATGATATATCTAATAGCATGCTATCCACCATTAATAATTACACATGAGAATAAAAACTATTATTACTTTGCAGATTATTCACTTTTAAAATTTTTATTAGTACAGGTTTTCAGTACATAATGATTACAGTCTTTGTGGGGAGCGGGTACATGCATATAACAGTTTAAATCTTTTTTCATTCTCTTTCCTTCACCTCCCTCCATACTCCTTCCAATCTTGGTCTTCTTCCTTTTTGTAATAAATTTCACTATTTCCTTTTACCTATCTTTTATTTTTCTCTTTATACTTTGGGTTTCTCCTATAAGAGAAACCATGCACTATTTAACCCCATGTGTCTGATTAATTCACTTAACATTATGTTCTAAAGGTTCATCAATTTTCCCACAAATGACCGAAGTTTATCTTTCTTTATGGCAAAGTGGTACTCCATTGTATACAACTACCATACTTTCTTTATTCATTCATCTGTTGATGGACATACAGGCTGCTTCCAAGACTTAGTTATGAACTGTGCTTCTATAAACATGAGTATGCATGTGTTAATGTAATATGGTATCTTTAACTCAGAGAATTATTGACTTACATGGAATAGATTTACAATATAGCAAGTAGAAAAGGATAGTAAGAAACCAATTATAAAAACAGCACAGGTGACTACATGCATGTGTACATGCATACTATGTGTTTTCAAAGAAAAAAGAGACTAGAAAGCAACAAGCTCAAAATAATAATGTATATTATATTCTGGTAGTAAGAATATGGGTGTCTTAAAATTTCTTATTCGTATCCTTGTAAATGTTTCAAATTTACCTCCAATGAGCTTGTATTATTTGCAGAAAACAATGTCCTTATAATTTTTATGAAGAGTACAGATTACTTACTTTAATAGCAATGTTAATAGAAACTTCCTGAATATTAGCAAGTGGTGGGTAAAGTCTCCCTTGGGCTAACTCTTCATCTGTCAACTGACTTGTCAGTGCCTGTAAAGAAAACCAACATTTTACTTTTCTTTGTTTACATCACAGAGAGAATTAGTGAAATGAAAAAAAAAGTATTAGAAGAACCCAAAAATATAGGTGACCAAATTCTAATTTCTTGTAGAAATACATTAAACCACTGTATAAATTAAAGCTATTCATCACTAAACAATAAAGAAATGGCTAGGCCTAAAGACTAATCAATACATTCTGTTTAATATATACAAAACTTGGCATAATTACATAGCTATTAGGAAAATTAACATCTGTTAACAGAAGAACTCAGTGCAAAATCTGCATCTCAAACAGGCCAGCACTCCAAATAATACCAGTACTTGTTCATTAAAAATATGGAAGGAGTTATGTTTTATCTAAGCTGTCACAATGCCATATAAACATCTACACATGCACATATATATACACATAAATAAATACAGATATTTAAGTGTTATAAATATGAAAGAATTCATAGCTTATAATCAAACACTTAAAAATCATGATTTTAGAAATTAATACAAAGGTAGATAGGCAAATCAAAAAGTACTGGATGGGTAAGTTCCTTTTCATTAATAAGACAGATTTAATCCATTTTCTCTGCTTTAAAAAAATCTACTCATCTTTACAAAAGAAACAATATTTAAAACATTTACCTTGGCAGCTTCAAGGAAAACATTGTCACTGATATGTCGGGTGTGACACAGAATAACAGCTAAAGCCACACCTAGAATACATTTTAAATAGTTTATTTACTAAGATCGCTTTGCAACTCATGAAAGGAGTTAAATTCCTATACTGAAGCTAATAAATGGTAATCAACCCCTATTCCAAACAGCCTTCTAAAAGAAAGCAAAAATCTAAGTTAAATCAAATAATCCTTATTAACTTAATCACTAAAGAAACAATTTTAGAAGTGGCTTTTCTCACTTTAGCTTTTACATTTATCAAGAACACAAGTGCACACAACTTACCAACCCTTGTTACAAAAAGTGTAAGTTGCCAACTCACCTGTAACCCTCCACTTCTTGCTCAAAAGAGCTAGTCACTTTAAATTATTTTAGCTTGTTATTTAGTATTTCTGTCATTCTTAATTTGGTTATATTTCTTTTAATTTTCAAGCCTGAGCCCTCATTGATTCCTTGTGGGAAATACATACTTAGCTCTCTCTTATATTTCCAGCCTTCTCTGTTCTTCCCAATACAGCATTACGTATAGTTTTGGTTCAGTTAACATTCAATGCTTATATGACTTCGCAAGTACTATTTATAACCAGGCCATGTGTTAGTATTGTAACGTAACTACTTCTACATAACTTTTTGTTTTCCCCGTTTTATCATCCTGTTTTTTCGTTTCCTTTGGTTTTCTCTGCCTTACTATCTTCGATCTTCCATTCTGGTACTTCATGTTTTCTCTTAATTTTGTCCTCTAGTGTAAACCTCTGGTCAGATTATTTTCATTCTAGATATGGAAATCCAATTAACAGCACAGGGATTGTTATGATTTATATACCTAGATGTTCCCCCAGCGTCTCACACACTCACAGGTGGGGTTGTGAGAGGTGACCGGATCCTATGTGTGACAGTAGGCCAGCCCACTGGTGGGTTTACAATGGGTGTGATGTGGGGAGGAGGGAAAGCTGATGGCAAGAGCTGGTCACTGGGGGTCTAGCTTAGAAGTACATGCGCTTCCTCTTCCCCCTCACTGCTTCCTTCCTGCCATGCCCCTCTGCCATGCTGCCCTGCCTCAGAGCCAGTTGACTGTGGACTGAGACCTCTTCAAACTGTGAGCCAAAATAAACCGTTTCTTCTTTAACTTGCGGGTGGTCAGGTATTTTGGCTCGGCAATGGAGAAGTAGTAAGTCCTTTTCCTAAGCCTCATGTCTTCCTAGTTTTTTGTTACTCTCTCTGGCAAGGCACATCTTCCTGTGGTTTTCTAAAAAATACTACAGATAAAATATATGTTCTTAAAACTTTGTATTTCTAACAAGTGTTTACTTTTTTTTTTTACTTAAGTGATACTCTGGGTTTGAAATTTTATTCTGGAAATAATTTTCCTCCAGAACCATAAGGTAACCATTCTAACACGCTCTAGCTTGCAGTGCTGGTGACAAGACCACTGTCAATCTGGCCCCATACTTTCAGGTGATTGTTTTCTGCTTCACTTCAAGAAGCATGTAGGCTCTCTGTTTTTGTGCCTGGTATCCAGAAACTTCATAATGCTATACCTCAGGGTGCACTTTTACCCATCATGTTTGACATTGAGTAGAAAACCCTTCCTATTGGAAAACTTGTCTGTCCCTTTTTAGAAATGTTTGTAAAGTCGTTGATGACATTTTCCTATTTTTCTGTTCTTTTGTCCTGAAATTTTTATTTTCTGATATTGTACCTCCTAGAATAGCCTTCTAATTTTTTTCATTGTCCATCTATCCTTTGCCCTATTTCAACTTTTGTGATCTATCAGCTATAACATTCAGATTTTAAACTTTTTATTTTAAGAGCTTGTTTTATTGTCTATTTTTTTAAAGTTAAAAAGCAAAATTTGTCCTATTTTAGAACGTGCCAGTATTTTGTCTCAATGATAATACTGATCATCTTTGGTTTTTTTAGAAATCAATCTTTCTTATAAGAGACTTTCTGTAGGTGACTAGTAGCCTGAACCTTTTTTTCTTTTCTTTTTTTGAGACAGGATAATTCAGGCTGTCCTTGAATTCACTTTCAAGCCCAAGACTTGGAGCAATCCTCCTGCCTGGGCCTCCGAAGTGCTGGAATTACAGGTATGCATCACCACACCCAGCAAGCATTTTTGATATTTAAGGTTAAGAGGCATACTTGACTTAATAAATGAAAATGTATTAAGGTTGGTAGCCATGAGCCAAGGGTTTACCTACTCTGAGCATCATCAAAGAATGACCTGGCTTTTTTTTTACCTTTCTATTTATGGCAACTCTGTTCTCAAAGCTGTATGTGTCTGGTACCTTACTGTTTATAGACATGTTTTGTTCTATTCCAAGAGTATCCTACTATCATTGATCAGAGATGGGCAGGGTGGTCACCTGATTGTCCAGGGATCAGAATAGGATTATCTGAATCATCCTGCCCTCCCCTCTCCCCCTCATTCATTTATATCTATCTATATTTATATTATGCCTTTATTATGTATCTTAAGCAGCGTATCAGTGTTGGCCCATTTACATTTAATGTGTATGTGTATATATTTGGTTTATTTTCTATACCCGTTTCTTGCTTTCTTGCATTTTTAGTTTTTAATAATTTTATTTCCTAAATTCATTCAAGAATTGAATTTTCTAGTATTCTAATAATATCCTGAAATTTACAGCATCCTTTGCTTCTTAAAGTTTCACAGTAATTTTTAATTTATCTTTCTGGTAGACAATGCAAGCCTTTAATATTAGTTTAATTTTATTAAAGCATTATCATGCAGTTTATCTCTGTATTTTTCAAAAAACATCATTATTATTTGGCTCTTGATAAACAACATCTGTTTTATTCACATATTCACAACTTACTTTACTCTTTATTTCTTCCTATATCCCTGAGTCCTTATTTGGGAATGTTTTCCATCTGCCTAAACAAGCTCCCCTTCCCTCTTATAAAAGTCTATAGGTAGTGAATTTTTTTCTGTTTTTTGAAGATGTGTTAATTTTGCCTTTTTTTTTTTTTTTTTTTGGTGGTGGTGGCGGTGTTTTTCACACAGGGTTTTGCTAAGGACTTCAGGCTGGTCTTGAGTTCACTGGCCTTGAACTTATGGCAATCCTCCTCCCCTACCTCCCAAGGGCTGGGATTACTGATGCTTGCCACCACACCCGGCCTGCCGTAATTCTTGAAAGCTATCTTCCATGTGTCAGGAATGCTAGGTTAGTGGATATTTTCTGTAAGCAATGTGTAGCATAAAGAGATAATCACTGTCTTTTGACACCTACTGTTGTTGTGGAGTCAGATGTCAGTCGAACAGTTGCTCCTTTGAAAGAGGTATTTTTGCTCTGGCTGCATTCATTTTTTTCTCTTTGCTGTGACTTAGACCTTACAGCGAGGTTCCTAGGTATGCTTTCTTTTCATCAGCCCTGAATCAGTTTCAGTGAGTTCTTTTAAGTATTGGTTGTCATTTACCATGTCTAAGAAATTAAACATGGTATTCTTTATTCTTACCCTCATTTTCTTCTGCAAACCTCAATTAAAAATATTATCAATTGAATACCTGTCTCTTGCCCATTTTTCTGTATTTGTCTTTCTGTCTATGCTTTTTTCCATATTACTTCTTTTGAAATATCTTTCAGGTGATTCAGTTAATTAGCTACAAAACTAACCCACTCTATTCTTGATTTAGATTACCTTAATTTAGAATTTAGAATTCTATAATTTACTGGGTTTTGGCTGAAGATTTGCTTTTATCTCTGTAAGCATAAAAACCATACTTATAGTACTTATCTTACATACAGTTTTAATATGTCTTTTTTGGGGTGCAGTTTCGGCTGACTTTGGCCTGGGTTGTCCTGTGTCTTATTATCATTATTATTGTTGTAGTACTAAGAAGTGAATCCAGGGAGAGTAGAGCTGTATATTTCCAGCCCTCTTTATTGTAAGTTGTCCAGGATTGACCTCAACTCATGAGCCTCTTGCCTCAGCCTCTTAAGTAGCTGGGATTACAGTTGTGTACTGCCACACCTGGCCTCTTTTATTTTCTATTATTATTATTATTTTTTAAACAAGGGTTGTATTTGCAAATTTCTTTATAATAATAATTTGAGGACTAGGATAGTGTTATTTCAGAGCAGGGCTCCATTTGCTTCTGCCAGACACTGGTAGTCCAGAACAAAAGGTTAAAGTTGTCAGGATCACCTACTGTTGTTGTAAACCATACCTCCATTCCAATGCAGACTTTCAGGATTTCAACCCAGGATGGGAATTACTAGATTCCTTTTGAAATCCTGGCTCCATTCTATGAGCCAGGCTCCATGCTCCTCAATCTTGTTCTAGAATTTTGCAGTATTTTTTTTAGCCTTCTGATGTTTTAAATGTTGTTTGCTTTATTTTAAAATTTCATCTAATAATTATAGTAGCTGGATTGGTAATTCCAAGGTGTTAAATTTTCAGTTGCTTTATGTACATCTAATCCTCTTGTTTATAGACCTATTTTTACCTTCAATGCCAGATCATTTTTCATGTTGGTATTTATTGTGCTTTTATTAATAAAATTATGACTTTAAAATGCTGCATAAAAGTAATCAACTGTCAAATTTTTTAATAGTCAAATATGACTTTAAAAATGGTTTTATTAGCATCAGCAAAGTATTTTCTTCCATGCCCTCATGCTTGTATGCCACAGAAATACTACCTGATAGACACTGAATTTGAACACTGCTAAATTCTAGAAAGAAATTATCAGTGATGAGTGAGTTTCTATTCTAAATGCTAAGACTTAAGACAAACACTGCTACAAGGGGGGAAAGAACAATATTATACAAAAAGCATGAGACTATTCACAAGTTAAATTAATACCTTCTTTTTTGGACAAGAGGAGTAACATGCTTCCCTGATGTTGACCTGTGTGTGCTACATACCTATTTGGCACACCTCAATTAGAGCCTGCTGCTAGCTTCAGGGAAAGATCCACAAAGAAAAAGAAGGCAGGACTGCAAAAGAATTCATGCCAAATCTCTATTTACTCAATATAGTCTTTCTTTAAAATAAACGGACAATGGAGGATCACTAGAAATTTGTAAAACAAACAAACAAACAAAACCACACTAAGGAAGCAAGAGCTCCAGAGAGCAGTTATTAAAAAAGAATTTTAGAATAAGAAAAAGAATTATAAATAAAAAAGATAAGCTGCTGAATGGATTGAAATGATGATATTAAGCTTTTACAGAATTTCTTTTGTTAGTATCATTTGGTGTGACTCCAGTACTATGGCTATGTTTTTAAAGATCAGACGTCAGGTGTGGTGGCACATGCCTGAAGTCCCAGCATTCTAGGAGGCTGAGACAGGACGACAAGGTTAAGCCCAGCCTGGACTACTTAGACTGTGTCAACAAAATTAAATAAGGACTGAGAAAGGTCCTGAGTTCAATCTCCACTATTACTAAACAGACAAACAAACTTAATTTTTCAGATACACACTTAAGTAGTTAAGAATGAGGTTATAAAAGTCACTGACTTGCTTAAAAAGACTTGAGAGACAAACCATACAGTGCAAACTGGGCACACACACCCATAGCACACCCCCATAATCCTAGATTTTGGGAGGCTGAAGCAAGAGGATTGCTATAAATTTACAGGCAGCCTGGACTAAATAGTGAGTTCAACCCCAGTCTGAACTACATGAGACTATATTTCAAAAAACCAAAACCAAAATCAAAACAAAAGGGAAAAAAACAAAAAAAAAACAAAAGCAAAAGAGAAACAAAACAAAATAAAACAATCAAAAACCTCCAAAATTTCTGGGATTTTGGGGGTTTCATAATTTTTGCAAATGCCAAAAAACAGAACATATACCACTGATTGAAGAAATACCAGAGAAGCCTCCCATTTTGCAGAAAAAGGCAGATGTGAAAATGTGAAATAAGATTTCAAAGACATCAGTGGGATTAAAAAAATGAAAAGTTTTTTTATAGTGAAATGGCTCATTCACAGGCATGCATGATAAATGGAAACAAACCCACACTCAGATGCATCCTATTAATCTTTCAGAAATCTAGGGGAAAGAATATTAAAGACAGAAAATAACTAGTCTGTAAAAGAATGAACACTGATGACTAGATTTATCACCTACAACAATGACCTTAGCTAAAAAAGAAGTCCTTAAAGGACCTTGACTTTAAAAATCTACCCAGCCAAACTATCAAGTGAGAGGACAAAATAAAGACATTTTCAGATTTGTGAAAACTCAAGAAGTTTTCATATATTCTTTAGAGCAACACAACAAAAAGCCAAAAAACAAAAACAACAAGAACAAACCCAACTTATTCAAAGATACAGTTCAGAAACACAAGAGAGAGCTTTTTATAGGAGAAAGATGAGATAGAGACAGTTTGCTGTGTGTGACCAAGAAGAAATGCAGAATGCATTCAAGATACTTACAAGATTATTATTATTATTATTTTGGTACTGGGAATCGAACTCAGGACTTTGTACTTTCCAGGCAGGCACTTGTGCCACTGAGCTATATCACTGGCCCCAAAGATTTTATGTTATGTCAAAAATTCAGACGTAGAACTGCAAAATGTAGTATATTTATCAAATCACACAAATCATGGGTTTTTATAGTGATTTTGAACATTCAGAACCAATTCCAGACAAAGCATGGAAAACATCTGAACACAATGTAAAATGTCAAAAATTTTCTTCAGTATAGAAATATTAATAAACCACAAGTGAAAGGTCGAATAAGGCAAGGAAGCTAAGCCTGAAATTCTTCTCATTTTTCCTTTGGCAAGTTAATAAAAACTTTAAAAATACTGATGAAAGCTCTTTATGTTACACACTGGTAAGTATAGTACTAAGGAGAATTAAAGATAGTAAGACAAATAAATTGAGTGGGAGGAGGAGAAAGGTATCAGAAGGCACATGTGCATAATGACTTACACTTCAAAGTAGAAAGCTCGTATCCACGGCTGAGCTAGAAGAATCACATTAAAGAGCATACAGGGCATGATGGTAACTACCAGAGAAAGAAGAATCTACTGATACCCTGATATCAGTGACGTGTCCTAAGGAGGTACCAAAGAGAGGTACAGGGAGCTAAATAGTTCGCCATTTTGTTCGTTTACATTTTTATTATATTTCTATAATAAAAGTAAGTTTAAATAATACCATGAATAAATAAACTTTCAGGGAAAACACAGCACATTATATTTGCTGAATTCCTTGAGTTTTCTAGGATGTTCATGCTAAAATTCTATAAATACTGTTGACTCATTTTTCACCTTAGATTCCAAAGAATTCCATATTTTTATGAATTTTACTACTGATCTATAACATAAGTATAGTAACCATTACCTGGAAAAATATATACATTGTTTCCTTGACCTGGTGTGAAGATTCGCCCATCTTGGAGTTTCACTGGCCCAAATGGACTTCCACTGGCAAACAAACACCTTCCCTGTTAATGAAATGAAATCATCCTAATTTTGTTACTTTATATGAATGAAGTAACTAAAGTGAATTTGTACAAAATTAGGTCCTGTATTAAACTGAACCATTGCATTACCTGGTTAACAATCCAGCATTCATTATATAACAATCTTTTTATCAAAATCACTTTATTCAAGTGAGGACTGCTTTATACATAGTATACTTTAAAATAAAGGTGAGAATGCGCCTTATAAACTTTAAAAATTCTGATACTTCTCTTTTGTTTATAAATTTACAAATGTAAGTGGCCAGTAACTATAATCCCAGATGCAGAAGACTGATGTGCATCTGTGAATGAAGGAATAAATATTAATTTGCTGTTAATTTCTTGTATATTTGTCATTTGGGCTCTTTAACAGATGCTTTCTAAATATTAACTCAGTTAATTTAGCTCTCAGGAAAACCTTAAAAAAAAGTTATCATCATCTTCATTTCACTGTTTAAAAAAAACAAATCACAAACTAAGGCTTCTATATTTTGAAGTATTTTTTCCTGACATTAACTGGGAATTGAACTGAAAGCCTTCATATTAACTACAACTCTAGTCCTTTTGTTTTATTTTTTATCATGAGACAAGCTCACTAAATTGCCAAGATGGTGACATGCTTGCAGTCCTCCACCTCAGCTTCCCAGAGTGCTGAAATTACAGGCATGTGCCACCACTTCTGGCTTTTAAGTCCTTTTACAAAGTCTCACCAAATTTGTAGTGATCAAACTTGAATCCAAATTTTTGCAACTCCTAAGCCTATGGTTTTTCTGTTAGCTACAACATCCCCCACCAGGCAGTTTATAAAACAGGCAATATGGTATAATCACATGCTTGTTCCAGAAAAACCTGGCATGTTCCCTTGTGAAAGAAAAATCTTGGTTTTTTTGTTTGTTTGTTTTTGCAATCATCTAGTTGTAGTACAATACTTTATAATAGAATGTAATGAATGTTATTGGTACATTCAGTATTTCTAAGAAAACAAGATGCCCACTGAAAAGTACTACAAATTCAATCTGTAAAACAAAATCCTTTACATAAAATCCCCGCGATTCCTTCCTCCTAAAAAAGATAAGAAAACAGTAGTGCTTAAACAGGATAACCTGTCTTGGACTACTAGAGGAATAACTAGAAGCAGTCATGTTTAAATAGCCAACTGCGCTAGGTTCCAGGATGATTTACAGAAAACTGAAATATCTCCAACGCAGTAAGATGGACAAACCATCACGACATCTGAACACTGGACATAGTTAATTGTAAGTGTTTAGACTCAGCTTCATTGTTTTTCAGATCTGAAAATGTATGTACAGTAAAAGTAGACTCCAGGTGTTAGTTAATATTCAAGAATCTGACCTCTGAGCAAACTGAAGGTCTACAAAGTAGTATAAGTATTATTTTAGCAAGACATGCTTTTTATTTCAAAATGTTAGAAAGATTAAGTGTGGATACAAATTAAGTATCCTAATAGTTCCTAATAGTAGTCCAGCTGACTGTTTTGGACTCACAACGCTGCTATGCAAGTTCCAAGTTATTCCACAGTTATTATAATTCTCTACATGTGGCAAAAAAATTTGTTTCTTTGAAAATTATGGTTGGTTCATGGCTAATGTCATATACATGATTGCAAACATAAACATAATAATATATATTTTGTGGCATCATTAATTTTAATATCCTTATTAAGTAGCTTATAGAATATAGCACTTATTGTGGAAAAATGTTACATCTTTATGACATTAGTAAATCTGGAGATTCAGCAAGATCTTGAAGGGTAGGTGTGGTGGCGCATGCTTGTAATCAGAGCATTGTGGGACGTTGAGGCAGGAAGATTTTAAGTTCCAGCCCAGCTTAGGAAGCTTTTGAGCCTATCTCAAAATAAAAAAGGTCTTGATATATATAGCGCAAAGCAAAGGCTTGGCGGTCTACAAAGACACACACACACACACACACACACACACACACACACACACATACACACACCCCGGGTGGGGAAGGAAGGGTAAAAGAGAAACATCAGTCTTCCTGAAGCCATCTTCATTCTCCCTCAAAATCGATCTGGAACTTAAACACAGCCAGATCTTAATGATAAAATATTCTCTTTGTAGAGTTCAAGCTAGCCTTTTTGAACAATTGGTCATTAAAACATGAAGACTTTTTAAAAGATAAATTTTTTTTTCACTGTGCAAAGACGAAGGCATTTCTCCACTGAAGAAAACACACTAAAAATTTAAGAGGTGACTCCAAGCAGACAAACTTTATGCCATTATTTTATGTAACAATCAAAAGGAATTAATTTAAACTATGACTCAGTCTTTCTTTCTACAACAGCATAATTTCAAAGTTAGTTATAAAAATTGTGGAAAAAAAGAATCTTTAAACTGATGGAATACACTGTATCAAAATAGTCTCCTTAGTGATTTCATATTTACCCTAATAATACATATTCAATATTAATTCAAAAAAAAAATAAAATTCGAAGGCAGGCATGGTTCTATGTGCCTGTAATCCCAACACTCTGAGTGCCTACAGTAGGGAGACTGCAAGCTCAAAACCAGCCTGGGCAATTTGGCAAAACCCTGTCTCAAAATAAAAAAAAGAGCTGGGAATGTAGCTCAGTATGAAGGCCCTGGGTTGAACCCCAATACTACAAAAGTAAAAAACCAACAAAAACAAAAACACCCCGAACACTTAAATGTTGGAGGAGTCTTACAGAGACACATACCACTACAGCTAAAAAAATCCAAATATTTTACGCTCTGGACATGCTACTTTTTCCTACTTCCTATAATACATTGAATATACGTACCAAATAGTCAATGTCAGGTTAAAGTTTAATTTCTGGGGCAATAACCATTAGTTTTATGTAAAGCATGGTGGAAATGATAAGCAATCAAGCTAAAAGTATTACACATGGGTAAAAAGTACACTAATGAGACTGACTTTTTAAAATATCTTTATGCTGACTTGATGATTTATTTTAACAGAAAAGATTTTAATTATTATGAGTTTCAATAATTGTAAGAACTAGAAACTAATAATAAGAGCATTTACTTTGACTAAGAGAAGAGTGATACAAAAGGAGTTGAAGGAATATACAATGAAACTCAATTGTCTACATAATTCTGGTTGCAAACCAAAATGGATGAGGATTGAATCACATTTCCCCATAAGGTCAACACTGAACCTCACACCTGAATTTGATTCAGTTGTCTTTCAACTTGGTTTGTGACCAGAATCATGGAAAGAATCAAGTTCATGACCAAGTTACTGCTGTGTATGACAACATAAGACCTCTGACAATGAGGGAGAAAAAAGCTAAATATATAAAGGGTATGAATATTAAATGCAGAAATCCTAAAAGAGAACTGTGCTTTGGCAATAGGTTGTTTTATACCAATTTTCCTTCTGGTTAGAGTAAGAAATACCAGATAAAATAAATCTTAAAAACATTTTTAAAGAAGCCAAGTGTTACCAAGATACAGTGAGTCTGATGTTGAGCGATACTAGGAAGAAAGTTCTCAAGGCCCAAAAGAAGATGAAAACAGATACGTGAGCCCAGCATTTTACCGTTTTTCCTTCTAAGTGACAGTTGATTTCAAAGGCAAAAAGCTTTCATTGAAACTCTGAGCAGTAAAGCTACCAGGAGGTAGTCTCATTATGACACAGAAAACCTCAAGTTAAGGGACCAGTGCAGATGAAGGTTGTTGGTTAGTCCCTCAGGGTTTCTGATCATACCCAGAGGAGCACACATCAGAGGACAGGGCAAACTGGAAACAGACTGGGCCTCCCCTGGCCTGCATCCTGACTGCATCACATGAGCTGCCCTAGCCCAAGAGCCACTAACAGAAAGGAAGCCCCTCTGGAGGAAGACAACCACCTAGAGCTCAAATTACTGCTCCTGTTCTTCGTCTGCACTGGCCAACACTCAGAAAAAAACAAAAACTAGGCTTACAAAATGAAAAGAACTGATTACCCAGAGAAAAGAAGTACTAAAAATGAACTGAGAGTGTGGCATTATAATCAGAATTTTTATATTTCATATTAGATGACAAGAGAAAATTTCCTTAGAGCTGCAAGCTATACAAAATGGTCAGTTTAGGAAATTATTTGAACTTTTCCCTACCTCCTGTTTACCTTTGGGCCAAGGATTTAGCTCAGTGGCTCAAGCACTTGCCTGGTAAATGCAAGGTTGTGAGGTCGATCCCTGGTACCAAAAGAAAAAAAAAAAAAAAGGCTACCTATTTATCTACCTTCTATTTTGCTCTTCTGTGCATAAATATACATTCATTTTTTATTCTTCCTCCCTCTTGGTAAGTGCCCCCAAGGTGGGCCAGGAGAATCAGCGGCTCCCATGAGCCTACTGCGTGCAGACTGGGAATCAATCACACACACACACCCGTAGCTACTGGAGACAGATGTCTCAGCATCTCTTGGAAGGATGACCATATACAATATAGCAAATATAGGGGACTTCCTCTATCTTGTTTGAAGGCAAAGGTGGTTTTCAATGTTTTGTTATATTTCTTTTGCTCTATTCAATACTCACAATTGGTTTTATAATGTTCTGTTTTTGGTTTGATTTTGCTATACCTAATTGGCTGGACAACTATTGTGAAGATAACAAGATATACCACAGTATCTATTATCCCAGTATCCTACTGTAAAGTTCTGTACCAATTTCACTGCATTGTCTCGACTGACTTTGTTCTGTCTTGTTCTGTTGTATTTTTACTACTTTCAAAATAAAATTAAAAAAAAAATACATTCATTTTTTCATATATGAGAAACCACGTGATATTTAAGCTTATATGTGTGGCTTATTTTTAATATTATGTTCTTAAATTGCATCCATTTACCTATGAAATGCTAGTATGTTTCATTATATGACTGGTTTCTCTTAGTTGACTGAAAAGAAAATTTTGTGCTAGTATCTGTTTTTTCTTTGTAAGAAGAAAGTCTCTTTGAGTAACTTCTTTGAAGATAATAATACACAATGTATTATCTACTGTTATTCTCTTATTTTTCATAAAATAAAAAATTTAAAAGCTGGCTTATAATAAATAATAAAAATTACTTTCTAGGGAATTGGGGATTGTTACAATTTTCATCTTAGTGTCTCCCAAAAGCTTCATATGCTCATATATAGGGCTTTTGTAAGAGGATTGAATCACAGAGAACCTACATAGCTGACCTGCTTTTAGAAAGTGGGGCATGGCTGGAAGAGGCAGCGGCATAACCTGAAAGGGAGTATCTCCATCTCCGTTCCTGCCTTCTCTATCTCTGTGGAGGCAGATGGAGCTCAAGTGCAAGACCAGTCTAGGCTACAATGCCAGCCTAGATCGCAAAGCCAGACACCACCATAAAACACAATCACACACACACACACACACACATACACACACACACACACACACACACACACACACACAGAGTAAAAAACAACACAAAAAAGAATGTGTTGAGAGGAGTGAAAACAAACAGAACCAATTCACATAATTATTACTGATAAATACCTCTGTAAGTGTGTATGCTTCTTCAGGGGTGCACTCAGCCTTTGCTGTTGGATTACTTAATGCAAATATTATAGGCCTTTCATTGATACGGGCCATGGATTTGATTACTTCAGGAGTAAAAAGCCGGCCAGCACCTGCAACTCCTGCAATAATGAAAGAGAGAAAAGCAACTTTAGCACAGGTATAAATAATTCTTATCAATATAAATTTTACAATAGGGTCACCATAACACAACCACAGATCATGTTTCATTACAAAGATACATTCTGCCCTCCTGAGTGAATGCTATGGGAACACAATCTCCAAAGACTGAAAGTGTCACTTAAATATTTGCTGCTTATTACACTTAGTAAATTATAGAAAAAAAACCCCAATAGAACAAGACTATCACCCTAATTCTGAGATAAAACTTGCTATAACATGATGAATCTTCAGGACATCAACCTAGGCAAAATATGCCAGGCAAATAATGCATGACCAGTTATTTTAAGTACTTAGAACAGTCAAATTCATAAAGCTATAAAGTAGATATAGTTGCCAGGAGATAGGGAAATCAGGAATTACGGTTTAATAGGTACAGAGTTTCACTAGCTAAAGAGATGACAATGGAAATTTACTTAAAGGTATCAAACAACACACTTTAAAAATGGTCAGTATGCAAACTTTATGTGTACTTTACAACTAAAATACTTAAAAGAGAAAATGAAATGTTAATTTGTTAAAACATGGTACTTATTACAAAGTGATAGGAATTATGAAGGGGAAAAATCATCTTGGTTAAAGCAATTTTTGATATAATTAAGCTCACCTTCATTTTTATTAAATCCCACACACTGTATTAGTTCATTATGATATAGAAATGAGTATAACGCAGATTATAGTCGAGAAAAAAACAACAAAGAAATAGAAAATTATAAAGCCTTCAATAGGTACTATGAAGGAGTCACACAGGACGATGGAAGCACATGAAGGGACACGACACAGTGGCAGGGATCTGGAGACAGAGGTCACACCCTGGCTGAACACCCAACCCTGAGACACTTTTCTGTTTCTTGAGGTAGGCAGAATCAATGCATAGATTCTTAGGTTTCTATGGGTAGTTTTGGGAGGAATGACCTGGACAGTCTTTAAGATTTCTTCTTACTGTAAAATGCAGAACTGTAGAACTCACTGTTTATGACTGCTTTATAGCAACAATCCATGAGCTCCTCTCTGTAACCAACAAAATTATAAGCATGACTGTAGATTCAAACTTGCAGCTAAATAGGAAGTCAAATCACTCCTCTTTTAAAGACATTCTCTGCTGAGATTTTAATGCTATGTTGGCAGAGTCTCATGTCAACTATGCATTAAAAACACTGAAAGTTTTCAGCTTTATTACCAATGAAAATCTGACTACACTGGATTTTGCTGGTATGGGCTATCAAACCTTGGACTTTTTAAGATTTTGAGCCCAACAGTCACAACAATGCTAAAAGTGGGCCAGGGGTACAGCTTGGTGGCATAAGCGCCAGCTTGGCAGGTATAAGGTCCTGAGTTTGATTGCTCGTCCCCACCCACAAAAAAAACAATGCTAAAAGTACAGCATGATAAAGGCTTAGGACTGCATCCTACTCAAAAAGAAGGGTGGGAGGGTCGCTTGAGATCAAGAATTTGGGACCAGCATGAATAACACAGTGAGATCATCTTAAAAAAAAAAAAAAAAAAAAAAAAAGGAAAAGGATGGAAGAGTAAGAGGAAGGAAGGGAGGGAGGGAAAAGAGAAAAAAAGAAGATAAAGACAAAGCACGATCCATGACCAGCTGCATAGCTTGTAGCATTTAAGAATACAATAACAGCTTTTAATTGAATTTTCATGCATGGTAACTAAAAAACTATCACCAAAACATTTGTCTGCCTCTGTACCCATGGGGTTCTGCATGTATGGATCCAATCACCTGCATATTGAAAATATTTGAGGGAAAAAGTTGCATATAGCTAACATAACAGTGAAAGCTTATAATCCCAGCTATATAGAAAGAAGCCTGAGGCAAGAGGAACATGAGTTTGAACCCAGCTTGGGCAACTTAATGAGACCCTGTCTCAAGAAAACAAACAGAAAAGCAAAGCAAAGCAAACTTATACTAAACATGTGCAGACTTTTCTTGTCATTATGTTTTAAACCATATATTGTAACAACTCTTTACATAGGAGTTACACTGCATTAGCTTTGTTCTTTGGTACCAGGAATCCAACTTGCATTAGCTATTGTAAGAACTTATTTAAAATATAGTACACAGAGGTGGAGGGACTGGAGACAGAGGAAAGGGACGAGAGGGGAAGGAGAATAAGACTTAGAATATGTTACGTAGATGTACCTACTCCCCACAATGAATGTAGTCATTATGTACTACAAACATGTACTAATAAAAAGAATTTTAAAGGCTACATAAAACAACTAATAAACAACAAAAAAAATAAACAGGAGAATGTGCACAGACAATATGCAAATGTTAAATCATTTAATAAAAGGGGGTTAAGTATTCCAGATTTTGGTGTCTGTCGTGGATCCTGTAACCACTGGTTATAGGGACAACTTAAGTCTAAAAGCTAGATGATACATGTCAATTCATTTTCAGTAATTCTATATCACATGGTGGTTATGAACAGCAACATACAGTTAAGTAACAACTATTTATCAACGACTTTACTTACCAATTATAGCTGAAGGCTTAAGTATATTTACTGCATCTTCAAAAGTATTAGGTATGCTCTCTGGGGCCGAGTGTACAAATGGTTCCTGATGACTATCTATTTTAGCATCTCGACCCTAATTTTTTAGATAAAATACAGTATTTTTTGATAAGTACATATTGAAGATTAAATGAAAGAACATTATTAGGAGTTATATACTGTTTCTACATGAAAATATCTTTTTTCCACTCTTATCTTCCATTTCTAACTTCATAATGCCCATAAATATAAGACGTAAATCAAATTTGATTATACCCAAGGACTTATTTACTTAGGCTGGAGGAACTGCTCGGTGGATGAGTGAGAGCACCAATATCACCAACAAACCAAAACCAAAATTCGATTATTCTATTTAACCCTCCTATATTCAATGCGGCACAAAGGTCTACAATGTTTTACCTAAGTCAGGGGGATTTTGAAACTGAAGATTTTGCATACTTTGAAAGTTTAATATAGTCATAAAATATTATGCATCCCCACAATGCCTGCCAATGGGCACCCCCTCAAATGAACAAACTTATCAATAGTCACACGAAGTAAAATGGTTAAGACCATAGTCTCTCATAGTTCAAGTAAGTTCAGATCAAGTAGATTTGGCATCAAATCAATTTCTGAAAAAATGAGGACTTGAGCTTTTAAGGTTTTAGAACTGTAGACAGCATCTTAGACTTTTAATATCAGGAGCACAGAAACAAGAGGCAAATGGAATTCTGTTTCAAGATGGTAAATAAAGACAATGTTTTCTCCTTCCTAAGTCTGCAGTTCAAAAACAAAACTAAACAAAATTAAATCTTTCAGGGCTGCAAACCCAGAAGAGGAAACACTAACAGGTTAGAATAATGAAGAATTTCTCAAAGATGTACAGCACACAAAAGCACACTTAGAAAAACCAACCAGGCTGGGGCTGGGGATTTAGCTCAGCGGCATAAGTGCCTGCCTTGCAAGCAGGGGGTCGTGAGCAAGCAGGGGGTCGTGAGTTCGATCCCTGGTACCCATAAAAAGGAAAAAGACAAAAACAAAACAAAAAAAAAAAAAAAAACAAAAACAACAACAACCAACCAGGCTGAGAAATCCATATTTTTATTGTAATAAAAGAAAACCTCCACCCAAAAGTGAATTTTTTCCCATTAGAATGCTAAAATAACCTCACATAAAAACCAGCAGGGGCTTGAAAAGAATCACACTATCATCAGTAGGCCAAAAAGTTAAGGAAATACCACCTGAATACATCTGGTTCTCAAAACAGGTTTCCTGTGCTTGTCTCCTGATTATCAATGCTCTCTAGTATGAGGGTTTAATGGAAAGTTCTCAGTCTCAAAACAGACACCAAGAGACTGGAAACCTTAAGCCTGTCAAGCTAACTGTGTTCCCTAAAAGAAATATACACTCTGAACCTGCAGGTAAACAGATTCTCATTTGTGCTAAGAAAACCACATTATAGCTAACAATACTATATTCATTTTAGACCCACCATTATGTTAAAGAATCACAAAATATTTGATGAAAAAAGCACCAAAAAAATAAAAGCACCATAGCAATATATACTCCCCAATAGCCTTTCAAAAACGTAACGTCTATAACCCTTGAATTTTATTTATATACTAACAAATATGGTAGTTAAAGCCTCCTTGAGCTCAGCTGCAGTTTAGTAGTGCAGAGCACTGACTTTCTAGTCAGGCTTTCTTTTTTTAGCTTAAATTCTGCCTCCATTGCTTACAAACTGCTGACTGTGGAAAACTGTGAAGCAGTCCCTGACCATTTTGAACTTTTGTTTTCTCTACTATAAAATTTCACAGAAAAAAAAAAAAAAAAAAACACAGAATTTTTGAGAAGACTAAAGGCTAACAATGTAAAATCATATATTTTAATAGGATTGTTTCTCTAATTCTGTGAGATGTGCTGTTGGAATTTTAATGGGGATTGCATTAAATCTGTATAATAATTTTGGAGGTATGGCTATTTTCACTATATTGGTGCCTTGCAAGCAGGGGATCCTACCTAAGAGCAAAGGATATCTTTCCATTTTCTGATATCCTCTTTGATCTCCTTTTTCAGAGTATTATAGTTTTCAATGTAAAAGTTTTTATTTCCTTTGTTAGATTGACTCCTAGGTCTCTCATGTTTTTTGGATGCTATATGTTATTTCCCTAATTTCTCTCTCAGTGAGTTTACTTGTATACAGGAATGCTTACTTTTGAGTGATGACTTTGTATCCAGCTATGCCATTGAATTTGGTTATTAAATCTAAAAGTCTTTAGGTGGAACTTTTGTAGTCTTCTATGTAGATTATTATGTCACCTGCAAATAATGATAATTTAACTTCTTCCTTTGTTATCCTTGTTCCTTTTGTCTCTTTCTCTTGTCTAACTGCTCTAATATTTCCAGAACTATTTTAAATAAAGTGGTGATAGTGAACATCCTTGTCTTATTCCTAATTTTAAGTGAAAACTTTCAGATTTTGTCCACTTAGTATAATGTTGGCTATTGTTCTGTCACAGATGGCTTTCATCAGACTGAGATAAAGACCAACTATTCCAATTTTTTTGTTTTTGTCTTTTTCCTTTTTATCGGTACCAGGGATCGAACTCACAACCGCCTGCTTGCAAGGCAGGTGCTTATGCCGCTGAGCTAAATCCCCAGCCCCTTAAGGTTTTTTTTTTTTTTTTTTTTGTCTTTTTATTCCAATTTTTTGTAAGGCTTTTAACATGAATGGACTTTGTCAAACACTTTTTCTGTGTCTATTGAAAAGATCACATGGTTTTTGTTCCTGGCTGTGTTACTATGGTGTATTACACTTATTGAGCTGCACATGTTGAACCATTCTGCATCCCTGGAATGAATCCTGTTTAGTCATGGTGTATAATCTTCTGATGATCTTGTGCATTCTGTTTGTCAGTATCTTATTGAGGATTTTTATTTTTAATTGAGGGTTTTTACATCTATGTTTACTAGGGAGATTGGCCTGTAGTTCTCTTTCTTAGTTGGGACCTTCTCTGGTTTTGGTATCAGGGTAATGAATTTGATATCATTGCTTCCCTTTCAATTTCATTAAGAGTTTTGAAAAGTAGCAGTATTAGTATTCTCTAAATTTCCAGTGAATTCATCAGGTCAGGGCCTAAATTTTTCTTTGGTAAGTTTTTTAATTACATCTTCCATTTCACTTACTGATACTGGTTTATTTGAAATTTTTATACCTTCTTGATTTCGTTTTGATGATTCATAAGTTAACTAGGAATCCATCCATTGTTTTCTGCATTTTCCATCTTAGTCAATCCTAAAATTCATTTGGAATCAGAAAAGGCCTAGATCACCAAAGGCCATTTTGGGCAACAATGGCAAGGCAAGGGGCATCACAATCTCCAACTTGAAATTATAATACAAAGCCACTGTGATAAAAACAGCATGGTACTGGCAAAAAGATCAGTGGAACAGATTAGAAGATGGAGAAACAACTCCAGACATACTCAAGATTTTTCATTCTTATACTTTAAGCTTTCATTTTATTTTCTGTTTAATAAAATACTAGTATTAATTAACAAGATTTCAGAATGTAGCAAAGTACACTGAGATAGCCTGCTGTATAATGTAAATGGTAAATGGCAAACAACTGCTATGTCATTATACTAGGATGTGCTCATACAAAAATACAATAGCACTGTACTCTGGATAGACTGAAATATAAACCTGTTCATATTTCATATCACATGGTACAAGATCTGTGTCATTAGGTAATAAAAATAGTAACCAATGCAAAGGAAGGCAGGCAAGCCTGAAGGGCACTAAAATAACCTGAGAGAGCTCCTTATCATCCATGTATTGATTTCAAGAATACAAACATTTTTTGGTGGGGAGGGAAGTTTTTTGGATTATGGGTTAAAGCATTTCTGCTCAACTATACTATAATCACATGAATAGGATATTCTAAGTTCTCATTAAAAACTTAGTTTTAAGGCTCAGGGTAGCTTAGTGGTAGAGTGCTTGTCTGCCACACAGGAGGCCCTGAGTCTGATGCCAAACACCACATAACAAAACAAAACTCCCTTAGCTTTAATACTTGACAGGGATTTTATCTCTTAAGGAGCAAGAAAAAATAGATTATGATTAAAGTATGAAGCAAGAGTGTTTGGTGTTAAATATTTTACCTTAACTAATAAACCATACTTGTCAAACATCCATATTTTCTTTTGTGCCTCTTCTTCTGAAAGTCCATTTTCTACCATAGACATAATTATAAGATTTGCAATTCCAAGGGCAGCCTGTTCAACAAAACACAAAATTGAAAAGTAGAGACAATTAAGTACAATGAAATGTTTGAGTTACTTTATCAAGATTGTTATGAGGAATATGTGGCTTATGTGTCCCTTAAAAATCACACAAAAATGGATTTTTTGTGATATTTTCTTTCAATTTTAAATTATCTATCTTATACCAAAATGCACACCCTCCACTTCAACAAAATTATAAGCCCACTGTGCTCTTCATGAGCATTAAAATTTTTTCCTACTTTCTAATTCTAAGACAGTGTTCCTTCAAATTCTAAAGTTTATAAGAGCTTACCTCTCCTGCTCCAAGAAATAAGATTTTGTGGTCTGAAATCGGTTTACTAATAACTTTTTGGGCTGCAAGAAGACCTGCGAGAGCTACTGCAGCTGTTCCTATAAGAAAAACAAAGAATTTTAAAAAATAAAAAAGGCATAACATGAATGCTTAATAGGATTCAAAAACCGAAAGTCTCCTTTTTGTTTTACCTTGAATGTCATCATTGAAGGTACAATATTTTTCTCTGTATTTTCTCAAGAACCTGAATGCATTATGATTTCCAAAGTCTTCAAACTGAATAAGTGTGTTCCGGCCATATCTAAAAACAGCAAAACCCGTAATGGTTGTGTTGAAAATACCACAATGAGACAGCTTTCCTGTCTAATATTACTTATGACAGCATTTATAAATACATAATGTAACATATTATGTTAAAGGTCATCTAAACATTTTCAGAGGCTGTGAAAGACTGACTAGACCCAAACTGTAGCAATCTATTACTTAAAAAAAATCATGAAGTGATTAAAAATAATGCAGCAGCATAATGAGCTATTTGATATCAATCAGCATGAAGAATTTCAAAAAGCCTAGGTGGGTTCACAGCACACAAACACTAAATAGCTTCTTGAAAACAAGGGGACTTTGTCTCTGAGTCTCAAAAACTATGTATTTAATATACGTATCCTCATTAACAGCTCAATAGCAATATGATATGAAATTTTATACTAAGTAAGGCCAAAGGAGGGGGAATTTTGAGTGCCAAATTAAAGAAAAAGGAGTTTTCTCTCTATCCCTTGTAAATTACTGAAGTCTGCAGAGGAGGGAAGAACGCATGTAGGATTCCAGTTAGCAAGGATGAACTCACCAGTAATGTACTCCACAGTGGTGTGGACAGAGGTAAGAAAAACAGGAGAAGTGACATATTATATTATATTACATTACCTTATAAAAAACCTGAAAGTACTTCAGGAGACCAAAGACCAACTATGAAAACATTAGAACAAACAAACAAACAGAAATTGGTGATGAGGACCAACTGGGAAATGAGGGAGAAACTGTTACAATGCCAAGGAAACTTGAGTGACCAAGAAGAAACCACTGGGTTGTCCAAGTTAGGGAAATGAGGGGAAAAAGGAAGATGATACTATCCAGGAAGGTGAAAAGTTCAAGTTTGGACTTGTTCTCAATGTTGCCTCTTGTTATGGTTTATATTTAGATGTCTTCCCAAAAACAAATCCTCTTGCGCTAATAGGTGGGGTTCTTGGGTTTGTGATACTGGATGATATTAGTTTACTGATAGGTTTAAAGTTGGAGGTGATGTTGGAGATGAAGCCTGATGGGAACAGGTGGGTCACTGCTGGTATAACCTGGAGGCTGTATATCCTTCATCATCCTTGGTGCCCTGCTGCTTCCTGTCTGCAATTCCTTGAGCTCCTTCTCCTATGCCAGGCCTGCCCCGCCTTGAACCAGACAACTATAGACTGAAACCTGTAAAAACTGTGAACTAAAATAAGCCTTTCCTCCTTCAACCTGTGGGGGTGCCAGATATTTTGTTACAGCAATGAGAAAGTAACTAAAACACTCTGAAAAGGAATTAATTTTTTAGTACTTTCCATGAGCTATAATTTAACAGGTAAGCTACAGCTAGAACATAAAGATAAAGGTTGGGGCATACCCCGTGGCAACCAAAACCCATTGAGAGATGATGTCAAGCAAAAGAATGACATGATGGAGTGTACACTTTCAAAAGACTGATATGGTGTCAAAATGGGAAGAATGCAGAGAAACTAGGTTTAGAGAAACCCAGAAGACAGAAGACAGAAAAACAAGACTGTGGTAATGGAAGAGACATAATCTTGACTGCATGGGTGGCTGATGAAGAAAAAAGTCAAAGGTAACACCAAGATCAAAGGTTTGGCAATAAGATGATGGTTACTATCATTAATGGTGGTTGGGACTACAGAACTATTTGAAATGTGAACGTGAAGTAGCAACAGAGTATCCCAACAGAGGGTTTCAGCTGTTAGAAATGCAGGAGTACAAGGATGAGCTTACACAGGTTTAGAAATCAAATGCATAAATGTCAGAGTTCACCATAAATGTGTGTCAGTTAAATACACTAAGAGTTATAGGTATAGCTTAGGGGTAGATCAGTTGGCTAGTATACACGGGGCCCTAAATCTGAGTTAAAAAACAGAAACATAGATACACAGACACACACATACACACAGAGAGTCAGTCTGCATAACTGAAAGAGAAGACCACGTAGTCACCAACACTTAATAAAAGAACACTTAATAAAAGGCAGCAAAAAACAAACAAACAAACAAACAAACAAAAAAAGTCCTGTGAAGAAGACAAGAAAAAGTAGAAGACAAAGAGTTTTTAGTAGTCAAGAGAAAGTTTCAAGTGCACAGGAGTTGGAAAACCTTGCCGGACATTGCCAAGAAGTGAATAGAGAGAAGAACCAAAGTGGCAGAACACCTTTATGCAGTAGCACAGTGGGCAGCCCACTGTCCAGGGCTGAAAGGAGAGCTAAATGATGAAGGTTGGGTAGGAGAGGTGGATGTAGACCTCATTTCAGACGTGAGGTAACTCAAAACAGCAAGGCGCACCAAAGGTTCCACCTTGCATCAGAATATTCCCAAAATTTAGTCTAGTCCTGCTTAACTTCACAAAAAAATAAAACAGAACTATGGTTCCCACCCGCACCAACTAAAGGTACTTTCATGTGGTAAAACTTTTAAAGATACCTGTCAGTAATTGCTTTCATGAATTCATCAATCAGATCATCATAAAGTTGTGAGCGATCTCTCTTCTGATACAAGCCCATGTAAAATGGATCTTTTAAGAGTGCCTATAAAAAGGTAAAATCTCTTTATTACATTACTAGTTTAAATGTATAAAACAAAAATTATAGTACTTCCATTCCTTTAGTAGGCTTAACTATTACTTGCATAAATATTAAAAGTGGAGTTTAAGAAAACGATCAACATTCAATTACAAGGTTTTCTCTTATGTCTTTTTTTGTTGTGTTGGAAACTGAAGGCCGGGACCTCGGGTATCATATGCAAGGGTTCTAACATTGAGCTATATTCCTAGTCAAAGATTTTTCCTCTTTTTTTCCTTCTTAAATTTTCTTTGCTTAAATCATCTTCAAATGAGAAATTTTTTTAATTATAGGAAGAAATTCAAGGGGAAAAATATTACTTACTTGATTATCAGTTCCAACATCAATACAGACAGGCAGGCATCTATCAGGCCGTATTCCTGCACAGGCTGTATATAAACAAAGTTTTCCTACTGGAATTCCCATTCCGTAGACACCCAAATCTCCAAGACCCAGAATTCTCTCCCCATCAGTCACCACAACAGCCTTAATTACAAACAAAACAAAATTAAAAAAATGCACATTAAAAGTTGCCCAAAATGTGGCACTAAAGAGATATATTCAAAACAACATTTATTTTCAATATTTTCACTTTTAGAATTAAAATTGTTTCTCAGCTGAATTCCAATGTAATTCAATGAAACATACATAATCTAGAATATCTGCCTGTAACAGTACATTAAAAAGAGAATTACCTAGATTTAATACCCTTCTAACTTAGGTTTGTAAACACAATGCTTCTGTCTGACTGAAGGGTCAATTTTGATTCTTTTCTTTCTTTCTTTATTTTTTTGTAGTACTGGGGATTGAACTCAGGGATACTGAGCTACATCTCAACTCTTTTTTATTTTGATACAGGGTCTTGCTAAGTTGCTCAGGCTGGCCTTGAGCTGGTGCTTCTGTCTCAGCCTCCCAAGTAGCAAGGATTCAAGGCATGTACCTTTAAAGATTACAGAAAAAGGGAACAAAATTCTGAGGAAGAAATTACCTTAAGAAAAAAAATTTTTTTAGAAATAAACAGCATGCTACTTCAACAGAATAATATAGGTCAAACAAGAAAACTCTTAGCAACAGTAATGGAGAAAAAAGATTCACCATTTAAAACTTGCCTATGTATATATAAGGTTTTTAAGGTCACAGTGGTGTATTTAATTATCATACCGTTTTTTTCCTAGAATATCTGAACTAAAGAATCCATCAATGTTTAATCTGATAAGGAAGATACAAGTAATAATGGCAAATAAGATTACTGCGTATAAATACAAAAACCTATCAAAAGATTTTGAAATAAGTTATTATATTTTATGCAAAAGACAGTAACACTGACAAAGTTATACCATATTTGCTAAAGTTAAAACTGTTCTGAGAGTTTTATACTTGCTAAGGGTCTAAATCTATCTTAGTTTGAAAGAAAGGCATAATACACTCACTACCCTCCAGAATAAGTCTTTATAACTTTTTATGTATTCTCCCCACCTAGAATATCATTACTGAAATAGGGAAGGAAGAAGGCAGGACACTGGAGTGGCAGTGGCAGTGAGAGGGCTCGCCTCAAGGACCAGCTCCATTTTCTTTCTCAAATTCGTCTGCATTATACCATAACCCACTTAAAACTACAATTACCATCTCCTCAGACACAAAGCACTACATCTGCATGTATAGAAGTGTAAGATAAACCAGAGCAACAATGAAAAAATGTTCTTGGCAATTCAGAGGTAACTTACAAGGAAAGAGGAAACATTGTGAAAAGGAGGGTTGTGCTATTAGTACCTTAACATGATTTTCTGGCCAGTTATCCACAATTGATCTAACATGACCTCTGTCTGAGATTGAAATAAATAATCCCCTGCAACAGAACAAAAACACCTTTGCATTTCATGACAGTTTTGGTTTCTAATTTTTTTGTCCATATTTGGAATGCTTAGGTATTTTAATCAAATATCTAGATATGGTATAATTTCCAAATAAATTTAGCTAAGTCACATTGGTTTATTTTCAAACACTTTTATCTACTTCAAACCGTAATTACATTGTTTACATTGCAGCAGTAACAAAGATTACTGTTAAGTGATGTGATCATTTTACTCAAGAAGAAATGTATCCACATCACATGTTGAAATAAACAATACATCTCTAACAAAAACTACTGTATAAATAAACCAACAATATAAAAAAAAAGTAAGGCAAGTAAACTACTGTAAAACTCACTGAAACTCAAAATTTGAAATTTAAAGAAGGGAAGAAAATTACAGTAAGTTCACACAAAGGATGACACACTTAAAGCATTGAAATAAAGTAGGAAGTTGACAAAAAGGATGTATCATGTATGACATGCTGTTCTGAAATCCATATATATTGTAGAATGGCTAACATAAAGCGAAGCATAATATACTGTTATCTATTTGAAATCATCCAGATTTTAAATGGGGCTGGGAGGAGCAGGGGTACAGAAGGGAAGGAAAGAGACAGAGAAAAAAGAAACATTAAATTAAAAAACAAGTCATGCAGAGATGGTTCTTATTGTTTTCAAACTTATTTTTACATTTAACTTTTTCACTGATATCTTAACTTTGGAATTACTATTATATGTAGCTCAAATCAGTGTTCTCTAGACATTTTTCAACCATGTCTATATAATTATCTGGTGAGCTTTTTAGAATGCTAGGCCCTATCCCTACAGATTCTGATTTAACTGGATCAGATTTAAGATTAATGAACCAAACGAGATTCACTGACCATCTCTGATATCCAAAACAGAATAAAAACATCTCCTACATAGTCTTCTATGCAATATACGCTCGTTGCCCTCACTCAAAGCCTTGCGCTAGCTCATGTCTGCTCATCTCCAGGTGCACAGGAGGAGGACACCGGGAACATATGAAACACTCCCATCTGAACTCAAACTTGGGTACTCAAATCAGAATCCCAGGGTAGGGGCTCACACAGCAGTATGACTGTGTCCCTCTACTGTTTAATCTGGGTTAACAACACTGTTCTACTAAGCTATCAAAGTGGTGAACAGTAGGATTTTATCATAGAGAGGTCTTAGCTATGTTAATTGAAGGCAGTATATGGATTGGAATAGACAGTACCCCTCAGTGTCTTACAGGGAATACCTACAACACAACTACTAAAATCCAGGCCACCAAACCCTCTTTCATCAATCGCTCGTAGGTATCCAAAGAAGATGAGAGCTAGTAGGGTCAACATTTCTAGGAAGCCCAACAGAGTTGCAGGCTCACCAGACTACATAAAGAAAGACTGAGGACACTGAACATAAGTACTATCTCACCTTGACTGAATTTCTACATTTTTATCAGTAAGTTAAAATGGACATGGAGAAAATATAAAGATTGAGAAAATTAATATGAGAAATAAGACATATTTTAAGGAAAAATAGCATGTTTATAATGCTTGTAAGTTAACAAACAACCATCAATTCGCTTCTTCCTAACAGCTTTTTAACAGGTACTTTTATTTCTATTGGACATCTGAGAAAACATACTCAGAGGGATCATCTGGTTCATTCAGGGACTTATACAACGGCCCATTTCTGTACTCTTTCCACTTAAAAATATTTGGAAGTGCTAGAACCATATGAAATTAAAATTAATGAAAGCTGATTTAAAAAGGAAAACAAATAACAGAAATTAAAACTGACAAATGAGAAAGAACCAATCCCTTGAATAGGCAGATTCCCAAAAACTTCAGTGGTAATTACAGAGAATCTGCCACCAAAATTAAGACTTATTGGGGGAAGGGGAAGGTAGAAAAAGCACACAATTCTTCTAACATTTACAAAAACTTGAAGGAATGAATTATGTAATTCCTACAAAAATGAAAGCTATAAAACTCATGCTGAGTTTTTAATTAACCTTTTAATCCAAAATAAGCTTTTGTGAGATGGTTGGGATAAGAATGTAACAATAGAAATCTAATAGGTGTTATGGAATGATTTTTTAAAAACACAGTTAAGTATTTGCTTATATATTTAAAAACAGGCCTTACTTAGGTCTTCTAAAGATATGTCCATATTGGGAACAAGCAAGACCAACTGTTGGTGTGTATACAATTGGCATTAGACTTTCAATATCATCTTGCAGTATTCTATAAAACAGTTTCTCGTTTCTTTCTTGTATTCCCATGATATAGATATATCTGAAATAAAGCACAATAAATAATGTTATTGTTTTGTTTTTGTAGTACTGGAGATTAAATTCAGTGCCTCATAATGAGCCCTATCCCTAGCCCTTTTTATTTTTATTTTTTAATTTTCAGACAGAATCTTACTAAGGTGCCCAGATTAGGACTGAATCCAAGAATGCTGGGATTATAGATATGTGCCATCACGCCCTGCTAGACACAGTAAATAGTGGCTGAGTCAATCACTCAAAATCACATTATTTTTGGCTTTTGAAAATTTTTTTGATTCGTGTATTTTTGTAATACATAGTATTTTCTTTTTTTTTTGCCCTTTTTTTTTTGGATGTGACAGATTGACCCAGGGCTTTACCTACGGGAAGCAGGCACTCAGCTATACCCCAAACCCCTTAGCTTTTGCAAGTTAAAACTTTAAATGTCTAAAAATGGGTCCTTCTCACCTCTATCTCTACCCCGCCACAAAACCTCTCAGATCATAAACCCTGTCATCACTTAGTTTAACACCCAGAACTAAAAAGTAGGAAAAATATAAATGTACAGTACTTAAATAATAACAATGAAAAAAAATAACAAGAGCAGCAAAAACTGTTTACTGATCCCTTATTGTGAGTCAGGTTCTGTACAAAGCACTAGAAATCACTATATCTCGCTCTTTTAGATAAGAACAATCTTCAAGGATACTGATGTGTAAATAAAGAAGCAAAATGAACTGGTATTCATTCACATTTACTCAGCACTAACTGTGCCAGGTACATTCTGAATTCCAGGAACATAAGAAGTCACTTCTCCCCAACAGTTTACAATTTATTCAAGTTTTAAGCACTGGAACATATAAGACAGAGGCAGTATAAAAGAGGCAATGCCTGCTTCATGTAGATATGTAATTAACTTATTTTAAATAATAAAGTTTGAGCCGGGTAATGGTAGCACAAGCACTCAGGAGACTAAGGTAAGAGAATTTTGAGCATGAGGCCAGCCTGGGCTACACAGCAAGACCATGTGTCAAAAAACAAAAAATAATAATGATATTAATACAGTCTGAAGACCAGGGAAATACTGGTTTGAAAACCAGAAATCATCTTGAATGAAGTAAGTCTAAAACACTCTAAATTCCCCCCAAATTTATTTCTTTTGCTATGATCTGATAAATGGAAAGTTGAGAGTCTATTCTTGATATCCTCTTTGATTCTCCCCAACTCCAGTCTAATAAATCATCAAGTGCTACAATCTACCTGGCAAATATCTTTCAACTATGTTTATCCTTCCACCTACACCTAATCCAGGCCACCATCATTTTTCACTTAGACAATTCCATAGCCTTTTACAGTAATTAGTCTTCATTTACAATTTTCCTTCCCTGCTCCAACCCAATCCATTCCTCTGTGTATGGGAGTTGGGTGGTGTGTTACTGGGGACTGAACGCAGAGTCTTTGCACTGACCTATATACCCAGCATTTTAAAAGAAATGATTTTGAGACAGAGTCTCACTAAGCTGCCCAGGTTGGGCTCAAACTTGATCCTCTACCCTCACCCTCTCAGGGCACCAGGATTACAAACAAGCCATGTGCTGCCACAGCCAGCAGCATCCTCTTAAAAAACATTGCGATCATTTCTATTGTCCCAAAATGGCTGTGTATACCAGCAAAATAAGCTTCAAGCTCCTAACAGTTAGTAAGACATCTGCCTAGCTTCACGTCTCCTCAGCTCCATACTGATTTACTCTTTCATTTCCTCAAATGTCACACTTCTTACCTTGGAGGTGTTGCATCAGATGCAGCCTCTGCCTGATCACCTGTATCCAGGCCTAGCCCTGTATGTATGTCTCCAAATACAGGTCAGGCAGTGTCTCCCCTCCCCACTACACACACATACACAGCAGACATTCTGATGTTCAGGTCGCACAATACTTTACTAGTTCTTCTGCATTCAATTTTGCACTAATTTCACATCATTATACAGTTGAAAAATACTAAACTGACCCATTGTAAGTGGAGGCTTAGTAAACGGGAAAACGTGAGTTATATGCAAAGTAACAAACCCTTGATTTTAATGTTCTCAGGAAGGAGTATCCTCAAATCAATCCCCTGGGGATACTGACAGCTAACTATAACTCAAACTTTGATATTTTTCCCTGATAATATAGTATAACATTCTCTCTTGATATAGGGCAGCTAGTGAGCCATAGCTTTTCATCAGGCACAAATCAAGCATGGCAGTAACTGATGTCCTGCAGTGTACTGTGTTGCTAAGCTATGGTGATGTTCAGTGGTCTGAAAATTAAATTCATTTTCAATTTAGAATTTTCAATTTATGATAGGTTCATCACAATACAACCCCATCAGGAGCTGAGGGGCATCTGTATTTCGACACTTTTAGGAACTAGCAAAGTATATGGTTTCCAACAAGTGGGCAAATATTTGATGCATAAGTAGACATGAATGCTTTAGATAATGAATTATATTGACTCTATAGCCAGTAGAGGTAGAAATGACATCAACATATAAAAAATTAAAGGGAGCCCAATCTCTCCTCACTAAAAGAAAGTAACCAGACAACTGGAATATTAAGATAGAAAAGAGCTTTGTAGGAAACAAAAAGAAATTAAAAACATTATATCCTAGAAAATATAAAAATCCTGAATAATTCAGTGTCAGTCAATGAAAATCACAAAGTAATTTAAAAACTACCAACAACAACAACAACAAAAAAATCCATGTCCTGATGGATTCACTGCTGAATTCTATAAGACATTTAGAGAAGGACTATTGCCAATACTCCTCAAACTTCAATGAAATTAAAAGGGAAGTAGTACTCCCAAAGTCGTTTCCTGGGAGCAAACATTACCCTGATTTCAAAGCCAGAAAAGGACCCAACCAAAAAAGAGAATTACAGGCCAAACTCCTTAATGAACATAGATGCAAAAATACTCAATAAGATATAAGAAATAGAATGTAGAAAATCATCAAAAAGATCATACATCATTTCCAAGTAGAATTCATTTAGGGATGCAGGGATGATTCAACATATGCAAATCAATAAATGTAACATCAGATAAACAGAGGCAAGGACAAAAATCAACAGATGCACAAAAAGTCTTTGACAAAATCCCACATCCATTCATGATAAAATCCCTGAAGAAAATAGGTATAAAAAGTCTTTATCTCAATCTGATAAAGGATACTTATTACAAACCAGAATCCAACATCATATTAAATGGAGAGAAGCTGAAAGTTTCCGGCTAAAACTAGGAAGACAAGCATGTTCCACTACACTACCACTACTCTTGTTAAATATAGTTTTCAAAACATCAGCTGGATTCAATTAGACAAAAGAAAGAAATAAAAGAGTTATGGATAGGAAAGGAAGAAATTAACTTACCATTACTTGTTGTCATGATTCTCTACACGGAAGACATCAAAAACTCCAGCAAGACTCCTAGATTAACCAATTTCAGTAGTGTAGTAGGACACAAAGTCTACATTCAAATATCAATAGCATTCCTGTACACCAATAAAAACCTCATCAAGAGAGAAATTATGGAAACAATACCTTTCACAATAAAATCAAGAAAAATGAAATACTTAGGAATTAAGGAAGTGAAAGACCTTGACAATGAAAACTACAGTAGATAGCCAAAATGATCACATTTCCACAACTGTTACACAGATTTAATGCAATCTCAATTAAAATACCAACAGCATTCTTCATGAAAGTAAAGAAAGCAATCCTAAAATTTATATGGAACTAGAAGAGATATAGAATAGACAGAAGCAATTCTGGGTAACAAGGGTAAACTGCCTTCAAGTTACACTACAAAGTTACAGTAATAAAAACAATATGGTATTTGGCAAAAACAAAAAACAAGACTGGGGGATCAATAGATCGGAATAGAGGGTACAGACCCAACTCTAGACATAACTACCAAGGGGCCAAATACTTTCTCTGGAGGAAAGACAATCTCTTTAATTAGCACATGGTGCTGGGAAAATCGCCTATCCACATGCTGAAGATTAAACTTAGACTTGTGTCTTTAACTGCACACTAAACTGAAATCAAAATGGATCAAAGATCTAAATATTAATACAGAAACATTTACTATGCTAGAAGACAAACTATGTAAAACTCTTGAAGACATAGGTATTGGCAAGGACTTTCTGAACAGAACAGCACAAGAAACAGTATGGAATCAACAGGATCACTTCAAATTAAAAACCTTCTAAAAAAACCCAAGCCTTCTGCACCACAAAGAAAACCACCAACAGAGTAAAGACACAACCCAGAAAATGGGAAAAGACTTTTGTCAGCTACTCCTCAGACAGGGGACTAATATTTAGAATTATACAAAGAGCTCAAAAAAATTATACACCCCCCCAAATTAAAAACCCAATAAAAAATGGGCCTCTGAAATGAATACATTTCATAGATGAAGCAACATAAATAGCCAATAATACATGAAAGTGTTCAATATTGCTGGCCGTTCAAGAAATGCAAATTAAAACAACAGTGACATTCCATTGCACACCCAGAAGAATACCAAGAACTCAATTGCCAAGAACTCAAAGAATAACAAATACTGGCAAGGCTGGTTCTGAATCAATGCTTGTTGGTGCTAGTGTGAACTAGTACAACCACTATGGAAATCAGTATGGACATTTCTCAAAAAACTAAAAATGCAAATTCCATTTGATATAGCTGTTCCCTTTGTAGGCACCTTTCTGACAGAGTTACAGACATCGTATTACAGTGAAATAAGCATAACCATGTTTTATAGCAGCACAATTCATAATAGCCAAAACTTGGAAGTAGCCTGTATATAAATAACAGATGAACAGATAAAGAAAATTTGGCATTTACATACAAGTGAGTATGCAACTACCATGAAGAAGGATAAACTTGAGTCATTTGTAGGAAAATTGATGAAATTTGAGACCATAATGTTAAGTAAATATTATGTACGTAAGTAAATATTATGCACAAGCTTAAATATCATATGGTTTCTGTTCTATGAAAAACTCAATATATAAGTAAAGTACAAAAGGATAGGACAAATAGGGGAAAAAGTTATTATCATCCAGCCTGATCAATGTATCTAAATGCGTACTGTGATTTAGTATAACTGTTTCATTTATTTCATGTTTTTTAGTCATCAGTTTGGCTGTGAACCAGTGTTTATGATAATTAACTTACAAAGGCATAAAATAAATCTGATGCTGGCAAAAAAATCCCAAAAAACCAAGGGTGAAAAAAAAGAACTGAGACATGTTATGCACGTATGTACATATACCAATCCCCTCAAATGAATATACTCATTATGTACTGCAAATGTGTACTAATAAAAATGTTTTTAAATAAGGTAGGTGACAAAAGAAGTCTGTGGAATACCAGACCTATTTCACGCTGTGCCACTTCTGGTGCCACTTTAGCCACTCTTCTTATTCCTCACAGTGATCCTGCCCCCATCTAGGACTATTAAAACTCAGTAACTGCCCTCTATCCTAATCACAACCCCCCTCCACACTGGCTAGTACAATGCTCTCACCGCATGACTCTTCAGGTGGTCTCTAGCTTTTTGATAGCTTCACTTTCTTCCATTTTATCAGCTGCTCCTGACTCCTCTTTGTTCTCTACACTGGATCCCATGATCAATTCTCTCTCTCTGAGTACCGCTGTTACTATTTAGGAACTTCCCATACCTTTATCACTGCACTGCCCTTCCACAGTGCCTCCTTTTCCACCTCAGTGACCCCCTGAAAGGAGTACTGGGTTTCTTCATTTTTGCAGCACAGCCTATATGCCTAGCACGTAATAACTTAGAATGAACAGATGAATTAATATAGCATCTTTGGTCACCAAATCCCAACCAACCTGAATCAGTGTTACATTTCTTCTTTTCTGTGGAAATAGAACACTGTAGTGCAGAATGGCACCAATACAAGTAAGATCGCACTAGGTGGCCTTTGGAATTGTACTGTTTAACTACCCAACTCTGTGCAGCTTTATCTTATAAATTACTGAATGCCTCTTCCTAATATTTATTACTCTCCTTTTCAACTATTCCATGTTGGCCTTTCTAAATCTTAGCCGTTACTTTCATACACTATACGTCATAAAAAAATCAACAGAAGATATGAAAATCTAAGTTTTTTGAGGGCAAAAAAATTCAGGTCATCAGGTATGATGAGATCTCATAAACTCTGTCCTGTCTGCAGCATATGTTTCCTTACTACATCCTGTGTTTTTGTCTAGTTCAAGGCTGCGTCTCCACCACTGTACTTCACCCTCTGTGTTTCTCTGGGACCCTGTTCTAGCAGTTATCTTTCTTCTGGGCTTATTCCTCACTATGACCACGTTCAACTTTCTCCTAGGCTGGTACACTTAAACCAAACCAGCTTTACTTATGATCAATGTCTTTCTTCCCCCTCTTGAAGTTTCTGAGAATAGTTTACATTTTGTCTCCTTCCATGCATTTTTTCAATCTACCACAGTCTGTCTTTTGTTTTGTCATTAAAAAAAAAAAAAAAACCAACCACTTTTACCAGTCACCAATAATGCTCTATACCTAACAACTCTACCAGACATCCTCAACCCTATATTCAGACTGTTCCTTCTACCTACCCTTGGATACCTTCTCCTTTCTCTCACCTTTTTTTTAGACAGGCTCTCATTTTATAGTTCAGGCCAACCTTGAACTCATTATGTATCCCAGGCTGGCCTTGAACTCATGGTGATCTCCTTCCTTAGCCTCCCAATGCTGGGATTACAGAGATGTGCCACTGCACCCAGCCTTCTTTCACATTTTAACTGTTATCTGCAGTTTACTATTTAAACATTTGTTCAGGCATCACTTCCCTCAGGAAGTTTTATTTCATCCGCGTTGGTCTTACGGCCCTGCTCAAGGTTTTGGATCACATCCTGTGTGCACATTCTTCTCACTATAGTCTACACTGTAGTATAGCATACAGTGTCAGGCCTAGTGTAACCATCTGCCGATGCGCTACTAGAAGGCAGGGCTGTATACTACTGGGTTGGTTACTGCTAAGGTCTAAATGTGCTCCCTACACTATGTGTTAGAAACTTAATCTCGCAAGTCTGACATTTGGAAATGGGGCCTTTAGGAGGTGACTGGGTAATGATGACTCTGCCCTCATGTATGAATTAATCTTTTTATTGATTAATGGGCTATTAAGGGAGTAGGGTAGTTATCAATAGAGTAGTTCTATTATAAAAGCCAACTCTTCTAATAACCCTCACTACACAATGTCCTCAAGCCTCTGCAGCGTCCCGCTGGCAAGAAGGCCCTCACCAGATGCAGTCCTTCACCCTCGGACTGCTCAACTTCCAAAACTATTAGAGGTTAGCAGAGTGAAACACACAAAGTGGGTGACCAATAAAAGTTGTTGAGTAAATAGGTGCAAACTGGATGTATTCTTTTCCTCTAAATTCTACTCACATATGAAATGCACTGGTGTTCAGCATAAACACTGATTTATGGTAAGTTTTACAATACTGAACATGAGTAAAGTCCTCGCTTACAGGAAACAACCATACAAAAGTAACAGCTCAATGATAAACACAAACACCATTGTAAGACTATGTATTTCTCATACTGTAATAATCACAACACTCACAATGTTTCTAATCAAAATACCAGTAAAAACTAAACATTTAATCAACTTACTTTTCCAAAGGGCTGGTCATTTTTTTCAAGTTTTTATGAAATCGTAAAGCTTGAATATCTTGTGTCTCTATTTTAGGGGGTAAAAGTCCTTGAAGACCAAGCATTTGTCGTTCCTGTAATGTAAAAGCCATTCCCTAAAGAGAAGAAAGAAAAGGATTAAAATTACTACTGGTGTAGCAAAGGCATTATTCTTTAAAATGTAATTTGAATACAAACCTTCAAATCAATAAACTATATTTGCCTGGACGTTCCAAATTTTTTGATTGCTAACATTCAATACTACTGAACATGCTGGAAAAGTTACTCTCGCAGATACCACTACTGGAAATGTAAATGAGTTTAGGCTTTTGGAAGACAAGTTCAAAATGTCTTTAAATATTTTAATGCATAGGTTTTTCAAGCAATATGCTATTCAGGTAGCCTGGCAGATAAATATTTAGACACTTTATAAAGAGGTACTGTATATACAAAAAGATTAGTTGTAACACTTTGTAGTTCCCTTGGCTACTAGAAGTCTATCAATTACGCAATAAGAATTCTATGGTGTATATTTATTCTATGAAATAACAGAAACATACATGCATCTCTAAATATGTAAAGCAGTAGAAAGATTTCCAAGGTACCCATTTAAGAAAAAAAGCAAGTTGCAAATCAAAATACACACTAACTCATGCGTTTAGAAAACCTACAGAACACCACTATGTTTTACACAGTGACATGAAACACATTTTAAATGAAATCAATAGAATACAGTTAAAAAATTAATCTGTCACAAGAAAATCTTCAGTGTCTTCCAGATGCAGTGCAAATTCTTCATATTAAAATGATGTCAACAAAAATGCTAATAGATTTCCAAGAACTTTTTTCTCCAAAAAGCATAATAATCACAAAATAATCACAATCACTTTTTTTGGAATTCTAGAAATTAACCAAAGGCATTCAGTTAGCACAATGCATTTATTCAAGAAACACCACTGGATTCTGATAAGCACGGAGCTTTAGGGCACTTTACTTCCACTATTCCCATTCTCCTCTCTCAAACTTCACAGCATCCCTAAAAACCAACAGCTAATAACACTGAATATTAGCAGCTTAGAAGCCACTGGAGGAGAGGAACGGTTGGAGATTCATCTTTTCCCAGGGAGGCATTACTGTTTGACCTATCTGCTTGCTCATCTGAACAACTCACCTTTAAGCTCACATTTATTTGACCTGTATCTGAGCTTCTCCACTGCTAATACCCTTCTTCAGACAACTATTTAGCATAGTAACTGCCTGTAACAGCAGGTAAATGTCAAGATAAACAAGCTAACCAAAAAACTGAAAAGAAAAGGCAAAGGAGATGTTCACAGGCGGAGCTTTGCAAAGCTCTAAGGCAATGATGGTGAACCTATGGCCTGCGTGCCACAGTGGGCCTACAGAGCCCTCTCTGCCGTGTGAACCAGGCCACCCCAGCCAAGGTCTGACAAAGTATCAGCACCGCATACGACAACGAAGATCACATTACTGTGTAAAAGCACAATGAATACAAACTTTTACCTTTCAATAAAAAGTTGTTTTTATCACTGAAAGCTCTGTTATTGTGTTTTTCTTTTAAGATAAAAGATGTTAATGTATGAGTTGTTTTTTTCTAAACTAAAACCTCAGTACAGTATTCAGGTTTAATTGCAGTGTTGACATGTTGTGGTATATAAGTGGGTTTTAAGTTGCAGTTTGCACATTTGGTCTCTAAAAGGTTCACCATCACTGCCACAGCATTTCTGAGAATTAAGAAAGCCACATGTAAGAGCTGAGGGCACATTCAGGAAAGACCTGAGAGGACTTTAAGCTTCCACCTCTGGCTAACCTTGAGCCTTTGGGCAAGCAGGAAGTGAAAGCAACTGAGTAGCAGTAAACTGCCTGAGTGCAGGGTGTGCCCCAGTGTGAACACACAGTCCCTTGATACAAAAGGGGAGACTTCTGCTTCTGGTTTCAGATACTAAAGTCATTAGTTGACCACAAACTAAACAGACTTCAGTAGGCACACAATAGAATGCAAATTTAAAAGCAGTAGCTCAGAAGCACCACTATGGTGATAGAGTGCATGCTTAACATACTCAGGTGCTAGCATGGCTCGTATGACACTGGCTTTGCCAAAATGCAAATGCAAGTGTTAAAGGATAACACAGGCTTCCACAGATTTCAGAGGAAAGGCTGGGAGACCAAACTGTCTCTGACAGAGTGATACACGGAGCCGTGAGCATGAAGTTGAAGCTGCAATGGAGATCTAGGGAAAATAGAGAGACCAGGAATATGGAATGTCTGCAGAGACGCTGCAGGCAGCATGCTAAGCCAGCCCTTGAGATCACGTAGGCCACAACCAACATAGTCACAAGGAAAGAACTTCTCACGTCCTCACAAGCCCATAATGCATTTCAGTGTGTGCTGGATGACACACAAGCAGATATATTTAATGTTTGTCCTGCTGAGTTGTGGCCTTGCTCTGGTCTGATCCCTCTTTCCTATGCCCCATTCTTCTGTTTAGATATTGGAATGTTTACCCTTTGCCACTGTATCTTGAAAGCATGTGACTATTTGACATTTTTAAGACCTCACAGCTGAGTTAGCCTTGAATCTCAGAGAAGACTCTGGGCTTGGATGATTTTTTGGTTTGTTTTTTGCTATGTGGTTTAGGCTGGCCTCACACTCATTATATAGCCCAGGGAGGTCTTAAATTCATGATCCTCCCACCTCAGTCTCCCAAGTACTAGGATTGCAAGCATGTTCCACCATGTTCAGCTGGACTTGGGACTTGTGAGCAACACTGGAACAGTTAAGATTTTAGAAACAATTTAAGATGGGCTGAATACGTCTTGCATATGTGAGATGGACATTAGCCTTTCAGGATCAGATGGAATGCTATATGTCTCCCAAAGGCCCAGATGGTGATGAACCCTTACTCTTTGAAGTGGCACTACTGGAAAGCAGTACATTATTAAGAAGTAGGATCTGGCTTATCTTTTTTTAAGAAAGAGTATTAGTCTACTGTGTGTAAATACCACATTTTCTTTATTCATTCATCTGCTGAGGGACATATGGGTCATTTCTAACATTTAGCTGTTACGAATTGTGCCACTATAAACAGAGTACGCATGTATTACTGTAATAGGATGTGTTTACCCAACTCCACCCAAAGTATATAAAAACTATGTACTGCGCGATATACACCTCCCTCAAAAATAAAGGAGATCAAGTAGTGGGGAAGGGGTGAGAAAAGGCAAAAGGGATGAAAGAAGGAATTCAGATGTATTACCTTCATGTACCAACTCCACATAAAGAATGTAAACATTATGCACTATATACTCATACAAATAAACTAAAAATATTTTTTAAAAGATGTAGATCTTCAAGTCATTGGAGGTAACTCTTCAAAAGAAATTGTGTCTCTTCCTTTTTCTCAAGTCATGGCTTTTTTCCACCATGCACTTACTTCCCTCCATGATTTCCTGACCTGCCACAGGCCCAAAAGTAGCAGGACTCACTGTGCATTGACTGAAATCTCTAAAACTGTCAGTCAAAATAACCATTTTCTTTATAAATTAATTACCTAAAATATTGCTCATATTGACAGAAAGCTAGTATATCTACAAACATCACTACTGATAAAAATTTCTTAATCTGATTCTTGAACAACCAGGTTAAGCATAGTAGGGAGCAAATAAAAGGGATCCTCTTTCTGAGTACAATTAGAATCATCTGTCAAGGATTAGGAAATTAGCAGACACTTACTTATAAAACTGACAACATGACTAATAGCTGGTAATTTATAATGTTAAACTTGGAATAGCACTTAATAGCAGGGTCATGGCTAACTAAATTGTAAGACATTATCTGTCTGGAATAACAGCTCATGGAATACTTTACAGTGTGTAAAGGTAGCTTTACAGTTTTACAGGATTTTCCCCCATACAACAATCTAGATGAACCAGGGTCTTATTTAATCTGTTCAGGTTGGTATAGAAGTACCATAGACTGAGTAGCTAATAAACAAGTATTTATTCCTCATAATCCTCGAGGTTGGGAGCCTAAGATCGAGAAATCAGCATATCAGTATCTGATAAAGGACCAGTCCTCACAAAATGAATGTGTGTTTTAACTTTATTTTCATATGTTGTGTGACACTTAGGTAGCTCTCCAGAGCCTCCCTCATAAAGGCCATTAAGCCATGCAGAGACCTCATGAATTAGTCACTGCCCAAAGGGCTTCACCTGCTAATACCTCACTTATGGAGATTAGGATTTTATCATACGAGTTTTGGAAGAACACAAATATTCAGAGCATCATTAGGTCCAAACAGGTTATATCTACATTCAGGATTACACAGTCAGCAAGGAGTCATCCTGGGGCTCTAATCAGCCTTCGTGATTCCAAATCTATCTTTCTACTGTATTAACATGCAACCATCTTAATAAGGCTTGTGAAGCATTAGGGTTTGTACTAATATTGTTTGGACAATTAAATGCAGATATCTTCTACTTTGAGTAATTCATTTAAAGATAACAATGCACAATATATTAAGCAATGTTACCTCCTAATCATGTTTATTTTGAAATTTTGGGTTTTTTCACTCTTTAAAATAAAATTTTAAAAAAGCATTACAGATGGGGCTGGGGATTTAGCTCAGCGGCATAAGCGCCTGCCTTGCAAGCAGGCAGTCGTGAGTTCGATCCCTGGTACCAATAAAAAAAAAAACAACAACAAAACAAAAAAGCATTACAGAGATATATTTATAATATACTTTTCCTAGTGGTCAAATGGCATACAAAATTATGAAATACAATTTAAAAAATAAATATACTTTATTTATTTATTTGGGTCACACTGTGGCAGGAGGATTGCAAGTCTGTGCCCAGACTGGGCAAGTTAGTGACTCTGTGAGATTCTCTCAAAAAAGTGAAAAAGGGCTGGAAATGTAGCTCAGTGTAAAGGCTTGGATTCAATGCCCAGTACCATAAAAGACTTACTTAGATATTTACCATTTATTTAGTTCTTTTAGTTCTAACAATCTATGGTTTATTATTCTAAGCAAAGTCCTTTAGGATATTCAATTAGAATCTGTAATAAAATCTTTTGACAGTCTCCTATCTTAAAAATG